CTAACGAGCCCACCATTCTTTGGTTAATTCTAGTTAGATGGCTGCGGCCTAGTGATGCTTTGCAAGGTTTACCAAGGTTAGACAAAGCACATACTTTGGTCCTCGGGCCACTTCGATGGGACAAGGGATCAAAAGAGTTGATTTCCGGGACGATACTCGCTGGAAATTCAATGGTATTATTCAAGTGTTTCCTGCAGCAGGCTTTCGAATACTAGACTACTAAGCTTGTACTTTCCAATTACACTAGCGGCATTTGCACATACCTGCGCATTCTCCTATCAAAGCTGTGACCAGCTGTGACAGGAAGTGCGGGTTCTGGCATCTCAAGCAGGCCTTGAGTGGATTTTGCCGACACATGTGAGGACACATCCTCATTTCTCACCATAAAATTTTGATCATCCGTTCAGATGATAGCCTTTGATCATGTGTACAGTATCTGTGTATCTATTGTCTCCGTTTGTCTTCGTCTTCTCAGCCGGCTTGGCTCGGTCTTTCACAGCAAGAGCAGTTGCCAAGGCTGTGCCCACAATATTACACGCAAACCTTCGGAGATGCTGGACCCAGAGCTGCCAGAGCTCATGCGCGCTAGTTCCAGCAGTGATGCTGGGGCAAATTTGAGTTACTCGGCTGGCCCCAGCATGCTCCCGCAATGGGCAGACTAGTCTATATTTTATTATATATAATATATTATTTTATGTATATGGGAGTCGTTCGCAAGACTTTTGGTATCGAAGTGACATCTGCAGATATGGACTTGTGATGACTTGTGCTTTTGCTGCCGTGGCGTAAGGCCGCGCACACGAAAACATGATCATAATTCCCTGTCCCAATTCTGCTGGGGCGCGAAAGGGTCCGAAAGCGCGGCGTTTGGGCAGTTTTGGGGAACCATAATTTTGATCAACCCTCATGCAGAGCCGATGATGGGTTTAGTTTGTAGCGGCATAATTGTCAGAGACCTTCCAAGCAGGATATACAAGTCTCCTAAGCATGCATGCAAAGATTTTACAAAAACCAGCCGGCAGCTGAGGCTGGTGGATGTAGATTTGGGTGTGAGATTTGTGTTTTTTTGTGAATCTGTGCCAGAAAAATGGGGATTGTAAGACGAGGCCATGCCAAGGCTTGGAAAAGGAGTGGAGGTGCTTGATATGCAATGGAAAGCAAGGCAAATAGAATACAGGCTAGCATACTGGGTGGCAAAACTAGCTAGTGTAAGTGTAACAGAAGGCTGTTCAAAAAAGGTTCGGAAGTGGAGTGGAGGTACTTGGTAGATAATGGAACTTAAATGGAGTAGAAATATAATTGGGATGCCTAAATATTATTGTGATAGATGTGATCGGACATAGATATGATTGTCGATCTAAAGGCCCATGTACTCGTAGAAATTGTCCATTACAAAGGCCGCCAGGGTTCCAACATTAGAGCCCGCGAAAGTCTTTTTTTGCCTGAGTTTGCGAAAGTCTTTTTTTTTGGCGAAAGATTTAGCGAACGATTTTAAGATGAGACCCCAGCGAAAGATTCACGAAAGTCGATACCTGTTTATTCGCGAAGAATGGCCGTCTGCAGATAAAGGAATTTAGATCAACCGCCATATGCATAAATAAAGGGCAGTAGCGCATGATGGCACGGTGGACAAGATTCTCATGCTTGATTGCAAGGCTTGTGCGCCTTTCCGAGGCTTTATGTTCTCATGGTAAAGAGATAAAGGAATTTAGATCAACCGCCATATGCATAAATAAAGGGCAGTAGCGCATGATGGCACGGTGGACAAGATTCTCATGCTTGATTGCAAGGCTTGTGCGCCTTTCCGAGGCTTTATGTTCTCATGGTAAAGACAAAATCTCTTTAAATGTTTCAGACCGCTGGGGATGATACGTATATATGAAGCTGGACAACAAAGCTTTCTTCATAAAGGCAGACGCATTTTGTCAGGAGTTGGGTAATTACACTCCCCATGATAATTACAAAACATCAGGTGTCTTCCCAAGGCCTTTAAGAATAATAGATCATGTAGATCAATGACAATTAGGCTTTCCATGAGAAAAACAGTCTTGCTAAGACCTCTTAGAACTGCGGGTTGATGTCAAGCGAGACAAGCGAGCTTTGCTTTGTTCGAGATAAAGGCTTCCAAGGTCGAGCAGAAAGACAGACGGTTTCTTCTGAAGACCTTTTACTGCAACATGGCAGGTTCATGTCAAGGCAGGCGGCAATGGAGTTCCTTCCTAAGACCTTAAGAACGATAGGTTCACGTCAAGCTGCACAATGGAGCTTCTTTGGCAACATCTGTGAAAAATGATGGGTGCTATCATTTTGGAAACTCCAACTTACCACGATACAAAACAGGAGGCTCATTTCAAACACATAAGAATGATAGGTTCACGATGATCATTTCAGTCTAGAATCTAGAAAGCCACTTTTCATCATGATGATGACGGTGATGGTGATGGTGATGGTGATGATGATGATGATGATGAGGATGATGATGATGTTGATGATGATGATGACGACGACGATGACATGAGGTTGTTTTTGCTAAGACCTTGGAGAGTGACAGATTTTGTCAAGCTGGACAATCAAACTTTCCTTTGTGGAATGGAGATAACAGCTTTCCTACTCGGACCCTGAAGGTGTATAATGAGTATTGAGTATATATAATGAAGCTTTCTGTGAGACAGCCAGAAGATTTATTTCTTCCTACCACGTGTAAGAATGAAAGGCTTATAACATACTGTATATCAAGCCTGACGATGAAGCCTGCTAGGAAAGGCGGACATAGGCGGACCTAAGACCTTTCAGCCAATGCTGCCTGTATAGACCACGTAAACAATTCAGTATTTGGTGGATATTAACAGGCAGGAACCATTTCCTTTCAGCTTTGATTGAGGCTTTGAACACCGCTCATTTGCCATAGTTCAGAGGTTTGTAAGAAAATCCCCGTAACTTCTCAATGTGCCTGTCCCATTTTTTCTCAAATCCCGGAGATGGGCACATACCCCGGAGAAGGGCACTTGACTCTGAACCCTGCAAATATGCATTAAAAAGACCTGGTGCATCCTGGTGCCCTTCTCAATGGTACGTGCCCATCTTAGATGATCACTTGTCCTGAGATAGTCCGCAAATGAGCGAGAACCATCCAGCCCTTCGAATAGTAGCGTCATTGGAAAAGAACCAATGGCAACTACAGTACGTTGTTCGTACGTTGTTCATACGTAGTCAGATCTGAATCAATCACAGATTTAAATTCGTCAGACATAGTCACATAGTTGCTTAAAGCATCTTAAAGCCAAAGGTGTGCATCTTCATCCATGGTGTTTCTTTGAGTGCTATCTCCTGGGTTTCCTGTACCCCGAAGTTCCATTCCTTTGAGCCAAGGTTTTGCCACCCATCCTGGCACTGCTGGGGGATTCTTCGAACCTTTGTCAACGGATGTTTGCGCCATCTGTCACTTTGGCGATCATGATCGCAGCGTTAGGCTTTTGAAACGCGCTGTCACAACATCCCTATCCCTATGACAGCTGCAAGCACTTATGCCACCACACTTATGCCACACAGATTGTGAGCGCGCATGCACAGATATGCATCGCATATTGGATGTTTCTGATCTTGCGGTGGTTTCTAATGTTTCTAGCAAGGACGCTTCGCAAGCCCAAGACGATAAGGATTCAGCATATCCGAAGGTCAAGTGGAACAAAGATGGACAAAGAAGATAAAAGCAGAAAGCATCCGCGTAAATGATGTACATGATTGTAAATGTATGGAACAAATACATAAAAATACACTATAATTATAGTCGGGGACGCCTTGTAAGCAGAGACTGATCTGCTTACTGCATCTGCCAGAGGCCAAAATCAGGCAAATAAGAAATGACCTAAGTAAGGCCTAAGTACAAACACCTGTAGTAAGCAGATATATGAACATATACACCAAAGACAATTTCAGAATCTGCTTACTACAGCTCCGTTGTCCTGAAGTGTTTGTACAGTAGACTTAGTGTCAAGACAGGTACAGTAGACTTAGTGTCAAGATCATGCGGGGGAAAAAAACATTGCCTTGTACCGAGCCTCTTCCCCACGAAAAGTAGGGACAACGCACTAAGCAGGAACCCTCCCTATAATTTGACCAGGGCAGTAAGCAGCTCGGGGCTCCGAACGGGACCTTATATGAATCCCTAAAATACCCTCCTGCTTACTACTTTGCTTTGGCTGGTTCCTGCTAACTGGGTGTCCGTAACTATACATACTATACGAACGCCTGTAATGGTCACATGTTTTTTGAGCCCTTTCAGCGCCAGTGTTGTGGGTGCAGTGTTTCGCCTAAGGCCTTGGCTCCTTGGGTGAGCAGACCTGGATCCGTGGTGAGCCTTGGCAAACAAGGCGGGAAGGATCGGGAAGGTAACATGTGTCAAACCTGTGACACATGATGCATGGTGGCGGCCATGGCGACAATCTCAGTACGCACCTGCCTTTTCTATCCTTGTCTTTAGTACACCTTACTAAGCAAATGACAGCTCATGAGAGTTTATGATGGCTTAGGAGCACTTATAAATACTTATTATTTCATTTCATGAGTTTCAGTGTGTTTATCATGTCCATCATGTTTCAACATGTTCCAATGCTGTTGCACCGGCGCAGCTTTGCCGTCCATGGATCATTTGCAAGAGGATAAGTGTGTACAGGTTATTTCAACTGACAGGGGCTGGACCGATCATACGTCCAGGTAAGGCTGCCAAGCCTTAGAATATGAATTAGAAAGCTTGACTCGGGGCCACCATCTTTAGTTATCATATGTTATATCATGTTATATCTAGATCTTCCCAGTCTCGAGTCTCAAATGTTTCGCTACCGCACGCTATGGCAAATATGCTGGTTTGATTTTGTATGATTTTGTTCGGTACATGATACATATGCACATTTGGCAAACGTACTGGGTTGAAACCCCGCTGAAGCTGCATCAACTTGAATCATGGCTATGGCCACATTTGGCTGTGGAAGCGGGCGGAAGCCATGCCGGTGACTGCAGCTCATGGCTACCCTGCACACTCCGGGGTCTCCAGTGTACCAAATCCAGGAGAGGCAGCTGAAGTGTATAGTGACACTGCCAAGCAGTGGATCCCAGCCACAGTTCTTCGGAGTGATGGATCTGTCATAACTTTGGCCTACAAACGCAATGGAGAGTGCGTGGAGAAGACTCTGCCGTGGCCATGTCGCACCCATTTGCGTTTTCCACGAGCTCTCAGAGATGCCGTACCATTGGCGGCCCCATTGGTGGCCCCATTGGTCCCACGGAGTCGACCAGTGTGCAAAATGGGCATCAAATGCAAAATACGGGAGCCACAGCATTTGACCACTTTTGCACACCCCTTTGATCCAGATTACCAACACTGTCACGCTGGTTTCACTGAGATGGCTTCCTTGCGGAACTTATTCACCTGGGTTGACACTGATGGATCTGGGAAGATTTCACCAAAAGAGCTTCAAGAAGCGCTGCCCTTGCTGGAGCGACTGCATGGAGATCGGTTGATGCTAACCAAGGAATCCTGGGACTTGCTGGACGAGGACCAACTTGTCATACTTGTTCAAGATCGATCATGATTGATGATGACATATCCACAACACTTTCGTGTCTTTGAGGTACTCTAACTTCCGCTAACTTCCTTCATCTCCCATTTTGATCCATTTTGTGCGTCCAATCATGGTTCATGTCCATATGTTTGAGAATGTCTGAGATATCATGTGTGCATGTCCGAACCTGTGTGCAGGATGGCAATGGCGCTGTCAATTTTTTTGAGTTCGCACAATGGGCAGGGCCTCGCTTGGGCACCTGTGCAGGAGGAAGGCAACTATAATTATAAGATATCATAATGTCATAAGAAATTCATAAGATATCACAGGATTTCACAAGTAATCGTATGGCAAGAAATGGTCAGAGCTTTGTGGATGTCCAATGATGTTCAGGTTTCCTGTCATTGCTGGTATTGTTTTGATCTAGAGTTTGTCGATTTTTCATGATTTTTCTAGAGTGGAATGCAAACCTTTTCCAGCTGACTGCTGCGGTTCCTGTCACTCTCAGCTTAGTGTTTTCTCTTCTGTCTAGCTTTGTAAAATAGCAGATGCTAGAGCTGCTAGAGCTGTGCTACTGTAGAGCTGCTAGGGCTCCTAGGGTTCCTAGGGCTGAGATGTGTGAAACATAGTGAAGCGATGTGAAGCGTATTTTGAAGGCGCCTATCCACCAGCTTTGCGCCATCCACCTGCTCTATCCATAGCTATCCGATATCCAGCTGTGCCAGCTGAGGCCTTCCCTTGGGTATTGATGATCTCTTTGAGCCCGCGTGTGGAGCCAACGCCTGCCCTTGTCGTTCCTTTCGACCCCTTTTGGATCTTGCCGAGGATTTGTGTGAGAGTCTCGGCCGACATGGCGAAGTTGGGGGATTTCGGGGGGCTATCCAGATAGCATCGGATAGCATGCCCAAGCTGATTTTGTTCATTTTTGATGATTTATGTTGCATGCTCCACACATGCCTCGTGAAGTCAATTGTTTGCAAGGCGGATTCTTGCAGGATTCAGTTCGACACTGAGGGAACCCAATCTTCCGCAGCGGATTTGTCTTATGAAGGGGACATATCCAAATGGTCTTATAGTAGAGTTACAGACTTTGATATTTTATGAACGTGCATCCGTGCATACATTCTAAGGGCACCCGCACGTATATATATATATATAATTAATATTTAATTAATTATATGATATTCTGATATATTCTACAGGTGTGTAAGAATTATATAATGATATAAATTATATACATACTGTATTTATTATATGCGTGTTTATAACTGTTTACACACACACATATATATATACATATGTGTATACATATGCACAGACACATGCACACACACACAAACACATACATGGGACACCTATGTGTATTATGTATGTATAGTATATTGATGTGTATTTGCATGTTGTTTCGCCTGCATTATCTTGCATTAAAAGGAGCAAGAAAGAAAAGAAAGAAAAGAAGGAGAAGAGAAAGGCAGGAGACCGTGGGAGACGCTGTGTCAAAGTCTCCAGACTTATGCAGACTCCTGAGTCTGCTGGCATGCAATCACATGCTCCTCGATAGTAGCCGTGGCCATTGCAGTTGCAGCTTGGCAAGTCTTGCAGGACAAAAAGCACAAAAAGGAGCATTGGCATGTTGTTGCAACTGATCGAACCTTGTCTCCAAGCAGCCCCTGGTGTGCGAGTTCAGGGTTGCCAGATTTTGCCACTCTGAAGTCTGAAACTGACAGATATTTGCGCTGGACTATGTTCATCTCTTTCAGGCCTGGCCGATCGCTTGCAGACGTGCCAGTGCGGCCACAAGCGAATGATGCACCGACTTTCGCGACCTGCCTGTGCAGTCGCGCCTTTTCCATGTCACTGGAAAAGTCGTGCAGGAGAGGTTCACACCTGAAAATGTTACAATATGTTGCAATCATTACATAAAGATACATACTCGTAGTGGACTGTAAGAACCTCCGCTTCAAATATCACTTTACAATTAGAGAGAGAAATTGCAGAAAGCGGTGTGCCTTGATCCGTGAATGCGTCTTTGTGTCGCCTGTTCTTTTCGCATGTTTTTTGTGCGAAGCGTTCATGACTGAGGAGAATCATGAGTCATTAGGAAAATGTTGTAAAAGATTATAATGGGTTCTGCATTCATGCAGTGATTCAGACTAGATTCTTATTTTCCTGGTCGCGTGTGCTTTTGAATTTATTAAACGGCACTGGTCCAAAAATCAAAGGCGCCCGCCTTGGAATCTGGGCCACTTGAGCATTGGGCCAAATGGGCAAATTCAAAAGAAAGAGAGGTTTGAACATGTTTGAACCTGGTTCGCATTGGCTATTCTCAAAGCCGCTGACAAGTTAAAATGGGTAGCACGCAAAGTCATGTGTTGTACAACATTATACGTACAACAGCACTCTTGCAAGAAGTGATGATACTAGCAATACGAGTGCGGGGAGCTTCCTGTTTTTGTTTGCTTCCTTCTTCGAGCTGCATCCTGGGAGGAACCGATTGTGCAGCCAGCTGCAACGAAATCGTTCAATTGGAAGCAGGGCATTTGCCATTTCTACAACAGCTTGTGAATAGTACCTACAGCAACGTTTGGACGCGTGATCGGCGAAGACATCATCCAGAAACTTGGCACAAACAATGCATCGATACACACGGACATGCTTTCAAATTCCTCATCGCAGGGCGATGGCAGCACTTTGATGTTGAGTGCAGCACATGCTAGCTGCTAGAAGTTTACCAGACATTGCTAGGCATTGCCAGACATTGCTAGACACAAATGTCATAAAGATTCAACCCCAGCAGCTGCACATTAAAATTACAGTGACATCACAATTGCAGACCTTGAAAGAACTTGGACTAATCAAAGGGCAGGAAAGACAAAGAATCGATATCTAAAATGCACACTGCACGTACGTATATACATATATACATATGTACACTGTACTACTATATATATATATAAGATTTTTTGAACGAATAACTGATAAACACATATCAAAACAAGATTGCACCAAAGTCGCGCAGACCCATGATGGATCTCTCAAGCAGTCACCAAAGGTCAGACTTTTCTTGAAAGGTGATATCCATGGCATTTAATGATCGCTCTCAGAGTAGAAGATTGAAGGTATGCCAGGTTGCTTTCTCACCTACATAGTCTTGAGGGTCACCGTAGGGTGCAATCGTTTTTTGGGCCAAGCTACCATTACCCTTTATGTTCACGACTGCAGATGATATTGCATGCACCAGAAGCTGAATAATCTAGGCAAATGCAGATGCTTCTGCTTGCTTCTGCATTTTTGGAGAGAGGGATCCGACCGCAAACCGAGGGAGAACATGGGAGAACTGATTAGTTTCCGATTAGTTTCCGTCTTTGACAGCCGTGGCTCGCTTTTCTGAAACGCCCTGTGTCATCTGTGTCCGCCTGTGCCCACTCGAAGGAACCCTTCTCATCCCTTCTCCTGCTTGTGGTAATTCCTAGTGGGCCGGAATCCCAACAGCCAAACAAACGATTGCTACTGTAAGCCATTTTAAACAAACATTGCTATTCATATCTATTCATTGCTTTCATTCTTTCATAGTCTTTCTGATGCTCAGTTTTTTGATGATTTCATTTGTTGTGACAACAGCTGAGAGCCATCCAAGATTTCCCGTTGTTTTACTACTGTATACGTATATATATATATATATTGTATATATTTATATATATATATGTGTGTGTGTGTGTGTGAGTGTTTATATTATTTCATCATATTTTATTTGTATTCACCCCAGCTTTGGAGAATGTATATAAGTTGGTAGGAATGCTGGGACATATTGGGAGCTGGTGGGAGAAGGTTCTAAAAGCAGCCTGTTGATTGACAAGAAACTCTTTCATTACTTTTGGGCCTTTGGGTTTGTTTCAGAAATTTTCTATGATTTCCTTACTTTATTACTGTAGCATTGCTGGTTGTTAGGACACGCCAAATGTACCGAGCGGATTTCGAGTTTCTCGGGCTTATCGGTTTGAAAATGGCAAGAGCTGGCAAGAATTTTCTATTCGACGTGCTGAGCTCCTCGCAGATGCGAAGGACAACCCGATCCAACGGTATGAAGTCCTGACGGGAAAGGTTTGGGCGAAATACGCACTGCACTTTGGAATCGAGGAATTGGCTCATTCGTGCAATGAATGGATGCTGTTTCATGGGACGTCACCCGCAGCAGCTCTGGCTATTTCTAGAAGCGATTTCCGCATTGACCTTGCAGGAGGGAGTACTGGAACGTTATACGGCCGAGGCACATACCTTGCCGAGAGTATAACTAAAGCAGATGAGTACGCAAAGGCCGCCGGTGGAGAGTATGCGATGCTACTTGTCCGTGCACTGGGTGGTCATGTCCGCTATTGTGATGAGGTGGAGCCAGATGCAGAAGACTTAACCCGGAGCTGTATAGAAGGCCCATACGACTGTGTCCTTGGAGATCGTCAGAAGTGCCGAGGTACATACAAGGAATTCATTTTCTTCGACACTGAAAATATGTACCCAGAATACATCCTCATCTATGAGCGAATAGGGGCATCGTGAAAAAGGTGGCAGACCTCCTAGTTTGATGTGGGCTTTGGGCTAGTAGTCCTTATCTTACCCGATGCTCTTGATATTCTCGAAGACTTAACACGTTCTACCAGGATGAAAGATACTCGCCACGGTATGCAATTGTCCCGGAGATGTTGGTTGATCATTGATATGAGTTGATATGATTTGCACAGGGGTGCCAGGCACAAACCATACAGAATGACCCCAGCCGCATACACGTGACGTGATGCGCGCTGCCTTTATTTCGCATTGCGTCCTCAGTTCAACACACGTAATTAATGTAATTATACGTATAGATAGGCTTCATCCTGGAACATCTGGAACAGCCATTGCACAATGCACGTGCCAGATTTACATGGGCGAGGTATTGCAGTTGCACAAACCTATTGGGTATACTTGGGGGGATTCTTCTTGTTTGTTGCTGTTTGCAGGTGCGGGCACTACTTCCACAGGTTGTGCTTGCGCCGCCACTTGAGGATATCCGTGGAGTCCATGGAGATTCTTGGTAATTAATGCTTGAGCATGCGTAAGCTCATCTAAATGGGGTTAATTTTTTTATTATATATTGTTTATTATTGTTAAATGCTGAAGTATGTATGTAGGGATAATGTGTGTGAGAGAGGGGGCAAGGAAGAGATTCAAAACTGTAATGCAACTCATTGCATATAACTCAAATTGCGTCGAACCAGTATGAGAGCCGTAGATTATATGCAGCTTCTGGATACGAAACCGTCTGAAATGTTTACAGAATTCTATTTTCTGATGTTTCAGCATTTGATTTGTAAAGAGGGTTGCTGAAGATACAGCAAAAATCACTTTGATTCAGTGATTCCGATCAAGTACACCGAACAGTGTTGTCTTTATTCTCTTGTGAAGATAAGGCCAGGCCAGAAAAGGTGCATTGTGGGATGTTGTTTGGACTGCGTTGCTGCCAGTTCGCTGTCATGCTAAGGGACCAAAAGTTGGACAGCGTTTCTTGGATTTTATAGCAGGATGATTCTAGATTCTAGAGCGAATGATGTGAATTCCGTTTTCATGGTCATGGCACATCATGGCACTGGCACTGCATGTGTATCATTATGTATCCATTCACTTAATGAATTATCTTGACCCAAACCGGATCTGGCTGTGCACTGCAAGCTTTCAAAATCAAATATCTTCCCATCCGTTATCCAATTAATGGAGCCAGAAGCTTTGGCATCTTTGGAATCTTTCATCGAAGACCTGGGGCGGTTCACCGACTGAGGGCGCTTGCCCAAATTGTCGACTGCCTGGCGCAGCTTTGGGGACCACAAACTGTCCAGCCAAGCCGCTTTCCTGGCAGTTGATGGAGGCGACGCAAGAATCTCACAGAGAGCCTCACAGTATCAAATGAGAACCTCACAGAACCAAATGCGGTCCGCAAAGCCGCGGTTGCTGTGATATGTTGTGATCAGGATCGTGCAGTTCAGTTCATGCAGTTCATGCAGTTTATGCAGTTCATGCACCAAAGTTATCCAAACTCTCTTTTGATTCCAGGACATCAGGTCCGAGCCGTTGCAGATGGAAAAGGAATATCGTTTCCTTGCAGTCCTATGCCAGGATCCAGAGGCGAGAGATTCTTTGGCGTGTCTTTAATCATATGTCATTGATTGTCATTGATTGTCATTGATTGTCATTGATTGTCATTGATTGTCATTGATTGTCATTGATTGTCATTGTTTGTCATTGTTTGTCATTGTTTGTCATTGATTGTCATTGATTGTCATTGATTGTCATTGATTGTCATTGATTGTCATTGATTGTCATTGATTGTCATTGATTGTCATTGATTGTCATTGATTGTCATTGATGGTCATTGATGGTCATTGATGGTCATTGATGGTCATTGATGGTCATTGATGGTCATTGATGGTCATTGATGGTCATTGATGGTCATTGATGGTCATTGATGGTCATTGATGGTCATTGATGGTCATTGATGGTCATTGATGGTCATTGATGGGCATTGATGGTCATTGATGGTCATTGATGGTCATTGATGGTCATTGATGGTCATTGATGGTCATTGATGGTCATTGATGGTCATTGATGGTCATTGATGGTCATTGATTGTCATTGATGGTCATTGATGGTCATTGATGGTCATTGATGGTCATTGATGGTCATTGATGGTCATTGATGGTCATTGATGGTCATTGATGGTCATTGATGGTCATTGACTGTCATTGACATTGATTGTCATTGACATTGATCATTGATTGTCATTGATGGTCATTGATGGTCATTGATGGTCATTGATGGTCATTGATGGTCATTGATGGTCATTGATGGTCATTGATGGTCATTGATGGTCATTGATGGTCATTGATGGTCATTGATGGTCATTGATGGTCATTGATGGTCATTGATGGTCATTGATGGTCATTGATGGTCATTGATGGTCATTGATGGTCATTGATGGTCATTGATGGTCATTGATGGTCATTGATGGTCATTGATGGTCATTGATGGTCATTGATGGTCATTGATGGTCATTGATGGTCATTGATTGTCATTGATTGTCATTGATTGTCATTGATTGTCATTGATTGTCATTGATTGTCATTGATTGTCATTGATTGTCATTGATTGTCATTGTTCTTGTAGGGTAACGCAATCTTCAATTGGACAATTTGGAAGCACAGTGGGCATGGATTTTCTTTCCTACAAGCTACAATTGTTCTTTGCACAATTGAATCCTCTGAAGGGCTTTCACTTCGTCATTTTTTTACAATTTCCCCTGAGAGATGGATGTCATTGGCCAGGCAGTCGTGCACAGCTACTCGCCGCGAGTAGTCACACGTGGTCGTGTGACTTGATGCGTGCAACGTCATGACAAGTCATGACAAGTCAGTCACAGTTTTGGGAGTGAACTCTTCCAACGCTTGGCCCAGGCTCCGTGTTTCTGGTGCAGAAGACAATCAAGTTCAAAGACCTCCCAGACTGATGAAAGACGGTCCCAGCATGGCATGCGGATTCTCTTTCAAGTCTGGTGGACCCACTTTGAAGACATTGTTTCCTTTTCTACTCATGCAGACATGGATAGAAATCGTTTACCATCATTGTTGTTTACATGACCTGAATGAATCTGAATGTAAACAAAATTAGACATGTATGATCTTGTATGGACACATGTGGATGTATGTCTTGGGTATGTATATGTATACTATATATATATATATAGCGAATATATATAGCGACGGACAATCACTTAGAACATCCTTTGGAAAACACTTTTTTGAGTACACTGAAAGCTATGTTTAAGAACATCCAGAAATCCCCATACTTAGAACATCCCAAGACAGTACAACTGTCAGTTTTCATGGTTCAGCCATTTGAACATTTCACTTCCGTTGGCAGAACATGTCATTCATGTATTTTTGACGTTCCTTTTTCATCTCAAAAGGGACCCCTTCAGCCTCTCTGACAAACGTCAGAGCGCTGGCTACTGCCTGTTTTGGGTGTTTCACGAAACACCCTGGTGCGACGCCATAGACTGGCGGCTTAGCCGATCGTGAGGAGCGGCTTCGAGAAAAGGGTGCTGCAACAAATCGAGAAGTGTAACAAGTTCTTCATCGGTGCTGCCTGCACTTTCTCTTTTTGCCATTGCTGCCAGTGTCGCACTGACACTGGTAGCGGAGCGCTGCCTGAGATCTTCCGCGAGAGTGGCAACGCGGAGTGGAAGGTCTGCAAGGGCCTTGGGGTGAGCCTCATTGCGTGTGACAAGCAGAACCTCTTGGACCTGGCTTTGCTGCAATCACTGCTTGAGCCTGGAACTTTGCCTACTTTGGTTGGCGACGCAATCAGAGCTCGAGGGGTGCAGAATATCCACATAGTGGTGCAATCACTGCTCGTGTGACGGAGTTTGACCCGATTGTCCTCCTGATCACGATGGGTGACAAAGACAAGGATTTTCGATGTGGCTGGGATGGCGACATCAGTACCTTCCCAGACTATGTGCGCCGGGTGAGGTTGATCTTCGAGAAGACGAGACGGAGGCGCCGCAAGCATCTTGGCCCCGATCTCGTGGCCCAATTGACAGGCCGTGCATGGGTCATCACCCAGGAGATCGACCACACCAAGCTGACTCAGGACGATGGTGCTCGGTACCTCGTGGACTTCTTGGAGGAGAAGCTCGCCCGAGTACCAGTACCTGATGCAGGTGTTCGTGCAGAAGAACTTTTAGTTCGTCTTCGCCGACCACCTGGGATGACGATGGCTACCTGGTGCGCAACTGCCAGGGAGTCCTACAGGAAGTTGCAAAGGGCTCTCAAGAGGGCAAGGCCGGCATCACAAGCGCCGACTAGCCCAGGCCGTGAGAGCTCAATGGTTCCTTCGCCCTCCACTTTGCGAAGGGATGTGCAATCTCTTGGGACCCCGACACCTGGCTCTTCAGCGACTTCACCTTCGAGGCGATCCCGCAGAGCTTCAGCTGGCACAGTGCCAGAACCAGAGCAGATGCCGACTCCAGAACGTCAGGCACAAGCTGCTTCAGCAGAACCTCATGGAGATGGAGCAGAAGATGAAGAAGAAGTTGAGGAGTTTGGAGAAGACCCCATCACCGGGGAAACGTCCTTCCAACGTGGCGTTGCGAAGGGCATGGGAAAAAGGTTTGAATCGCCCTCCAAGTCGCGCTCTGGAAAGCGCAAAGCTGCAGAAGACTCCAGTTCGTCTTCTGATGGTGGCACTGCTTGGCACATGAAGCAGTGGTCTGAGATGGACTCCGGCCTTCCAGAAGTTCTTCCTACGGAACTGCTGGGTTGGTTGATGTTGAGGCGCTGCAACCTCACAGCTCAACAGAGGCTCAACATCTTGAGCACCACCGGCAACTCACTGAAGGCGGAGGACATCGAGAATGCGCTGAGAGGTGCCGAAGATGAACTACGAGTTCAAGAAGATGCCAAAGGAAAGGGCAAGGGTGGCAGATCCATCAACCGCCCAAACTTTTGGATCGAAGAAGGTGGAGAATGGGGATTGCTAGCTGCAGATGAAGCTGAATTCCTGGAAGGAAGTCTGGATGATGTCCACTGGGTCGGCAAAGACATTGCCGCCATCTATGGGGCTACATCGACTTCACCGCCTTCGACGACCTCAAGCCATCCTATGCCTGCTGAGCCCAAATGGACTTCAGTTTCAAATGGGTACTGGTTCCAAGATGAGTGGGGCCAATTCACCTTCTGGTCACAGCATCAAGATGGCGAGTACTACACCATGGACGACGACGGCGTCTACTGGACATGGCCTGAGTTCATGGAGGAAGCTGCATGGTGGAGTGCCTCGCCGGAGCAACAGAAGGAGATCAATGATGCCTTCGCTGCCTATGACCAGAAGATCCGCTCTTTCATGGAATCCCGTGAGCTGCTGCGCAACAAGGGCGCCAGCAGAGGATACTACAAAGGTGGCAAGCCTTTTGGAAAAGGCAAAGGCAAAGGCTTGGGAAAAGGGAAGTCCAAGCCATCTTCATCGGCTGGACAGACGTTCTTCCAGAACCAGCCGAGTGATGTGCTTGCATCTGTTGGCCAGCCAGGCTACACTGGATGCTTTGTGTGCGGAAGCAAGTCTCACGACTTCCGCTCCTGCCCTCAGCGCGGTGGAAAAGGAAAACCTTCGACCGCCAAGGGTGGAATCTACATGGTGACCGATGTGGAGGAGACCGCAGCTGTGGCTTTGCCGTCTTCTTCGACCAGGCCTTCATCGATCGAAGATGCCTGGGCTGCTCATGTGGCGAATCCAGATCTCCGTGGACACGCCGTTTTGGACACAGGCGCAACGGAGACAGTGACTTCGCTGGCTGCATTGGAAGCCATTCACAGGCGAAGGACAGAATTGTTGGGTCACACAGATCATGTTGAAGTTGTTCCGGGTCCGGGGAAAGTTTTTAGGTTTGGTAATGGTCAAACACAACAATCAGAAAGTTTCGTTTATTTGAAGCAGCAGGTAGGAAACCATGAGATCAAGTTGGGCGCGTATACGATAGATGCGTCAGGAGTGCCCCTGCTGCTGGGGATAAGAACCCTTGAGAGGTTAGGTGCGATCTTAGACACCAAGCAAGGTTTCTTGGTGATGAAGACGGTCGACCCGACCCTGGTAGTCCCTTTGAAAAGGTCTCCGACCGGACACCTTCTTTTGGATTTGTGTTCCAATTGGCTCGATGGTGGTGCCAAAATCCTGTTCCAGACCGAGATTTCTCCCATGTCGGTTGAGGAAGAAGCGTTCAATGTCGTGAGCTTTGATGGAGTTTGGAATGATTTTGAGAAGGTGAAAGGTAATGAGGTGGAAAGTTTTCAGCAGTCAAGTTCATCACCTACAGCACCCCACTCGTGCGCGGACATTGACATCGTTGCGCACACCTTCACCTACAACAACCGAGCTGCGTTTGATGATGTTTTTGTGGTTTTTGATGATTCAAGTTTGATGCAAGTTCATGAAGAAACTGTGCAATTTCAGAACATGAACATGACCACTTCCAGTACCACATCTCACATGTCACGTTCTTCAAGTTCCAGTGGAGCCAGAACCTCAATGCTCTTACCGCCTCATCATTCAGCGGACCAAGACCAAGCAATGAGCTTGAGGATTCTAGCCCTCCTGGCTTCCACCTCACTTCTTGCTGTTCATGGCGCAGCCGACGGCCAAGATCGCTGCGACCCCGAAAGTGGCTGCGAAACCGGCTACAAAGCCGAAAGCCAAGGTGAGCTGGGACACCAAGTACGATGCCTCTCGCACCACGGGACCGGATGTGAGAGACCCCCGCTGCCAGGGAGCTCCATGCTACGGCAGCCATGTGACGGCCAAACCAGGCCGCGGGTCACCATCGGGCAGCAATGCCCACGGCTCGTGGGAAGCATGCGAGAAGTGCCTACTGAGGCTGTCATACACTCCGGCCTTCGGAGCCCATGCGCTCCATCGCAAAGCAGGACCATTACCTTCGGACACGGCCAACATGGTGTCCAAGGTAGGTCCCAACAATGCTGGCTACAACGACAAGATGAAGGACCGCAGCATTGCCTTGGATGCAGCGGAAGTGTCAGCAGAGAAGAAGCTGGAGATGGTGCGTGCCCAGAAAGCCGCTTGGATGAAACAGCAGAAGGAAGGAAGCCCAATGACCAATTCGACAGGGGCAACGGCGTCGGAAGTTCCTCCAGTGACGCCAACTGCCCAGTACTCCGAGGAGATGGGAACAACACCTGGAAGAAAAGCTCGGAGACCAGAGGCGACAGCCGAACAGTTGGAGTACGACGGCCGCTCCACACAGTCTTGGAGCGAGGTGGCTGGAACGCCGCCGACATCGACTCCATGAATGAGCTCAACTATGAGGCAAAGGTTGACCCGAAGTTCCACGTTCAGGACTTTGACAACCAGGCGTTCTTCAAGAAGGACGACATGGATGACTATGACTTCAATATGGATGTTGAAGAAGCGTGGATGACCAATGCAACCTTTGACCAGATGGAGCCCAGTGAGAAGAGGATGTTGAACGATGCCCTGCACTGCCCCTACGAAGATTTGGAGGAGTGCTTTGGCAACCTGATAGCTCAGAGTGATCAACATCGTCAACTTGACCTTATGGAGCTTTGCTGTGAGAAGGACAGCCTGCTGTCCACCTACATGGAGAAAGGTGGAGGCACAGCTTTCAGAGCTGGTCTTTTCAATGGCTTCGACCTCATGACGGAGCATGGAACGCAGCTGGCCATTGCAGCTGTGAGACGTTTGAAGCCGAAGCTTCTTTGGGCCAGTTTTCCATGTGGGCCGACCTCTCCGATACAGGCTTTGAATGAGCTGACGGAAGAGGGGAAACGCAAAAGCCGTGAACGAGTTCGTCGCTCACGGAAGCTTGTGAGAAATGGGATCAGAGTTTTGGAAGCTCAGGTTCTTGAAGGAGGACAAATCGTCCAAGAATGGCCCAGGTTCAACAAAGCTTGGAAGTTTCCCGAGATCTTGGAGTTTTGGCAAGCTCTTGGAGTTCGTGAACCTTGGGAAGACGTTTTGTTGGATGGTTGCTGCTATGGCCTTCAAGTGCCTGAAGGTTTTCTCAAAAAGCCTTGGTGCCTACGTTGCTCAAAGGTAGGTGTCTTCACCTCGATGGCAAGACAATGCCCTGGAGGACATCAACATGTACCTACAATGGGTGGCAACCGCACCAAGCACTCTGCCCTCTACACTCCACGGCTATGCCAAACAGTATGCCATGCTTATCTTCAAGATCAAAGAGCTGGCGCTGCATTTGGAGCTTTGGAGATGGAAGTGGACCGTGAAGGTCTCAAACAAATGACAGATCAAGAGCTGCAACACTTGAGTCAGAGTGTTCTCAAATTACACCGACTCTGTGGCCATCCTGGCAATCGGGCTTTGATGAAAACCTTGGCTGCTCGAGGTGCTGATGGCCGAACCTTGGCCGTTGCTGAAAAGCTCAACTGCATGGAATGTTTAGAAGGTCAAATGACCAAGCCTTCCACCAAAGTGGCTTTGGAGAAAGAAGAAGTGATTTGGAGGACTTTGCAAATGGACACCTTCTACTTCAAGTATGGCGACCAAGTCCATCACTTCCTCCTTATGTTGGATGAAGCCTCAGGTTTTTCGGTGGTGAAACAGTTCTCAGTTCACAGTGACGAGGACCACCAGAACATCACCACTGCCGAGACCCTGGAGATCCTTCAACAGTGCTGGTTTCAGTACTTTGGCATGCCTCACAGGATCAGATGTGATCTTGAAGGCGCTTTCAGAGGTGATCTTTTAGAGATCTTTTGCAAGGAACGCGGAATAGAACTCACACTATGTCCTGCAGAACATCATGAATCAATTGGAGAAGTTGAACGTAGTGTGGGTGAGCTGAAGAAGAAGATGACCGCTTACTTGCGGAATGAGGCCGACTCGTCTCCCTCTGAAGCCGCTGCTGAAATGTGTGGTGCTCACAATCGCATTGCACGGATTGGAGGCTATGCTCCCAACCAATGGGCTTTTGGCCGTGATGTGGATGAAAGAGATAACTTGGCTCTTGCAAGTGCTCAGAGCGATCCCTCATCTGAGATGCATCGCAGTCTTCAACGACGACTACGAGCTGAAGGTCGCTATCGTGAACTTCAAGCACAGGCCAAGATTTCTCGAGCCCTCAATGCAAAGGTCCAGAAATCCACACAGTTCATCCCTGGTGACCTGGTCTACTACAAAAGGTTCAAGACCCCAGCAGATACACCTGCTCATGCCTTGCTTGACACGCCTTCTATGAAAGTGTCAAGGTGGTTTGGACCTGGACGTGTTTTGGCGTCCGAGACCAGAGTTTTGGATGAAGGAGCGACACGTGCTCCATCAAATGTGGTTTGGATTATTTCACAAGGGCGTCTCAAGAAGACCCACTCAAGCCAATTGCGCCATGCCAGTGAGCGTGAGAAGCTCATCGCTGAAGCCACTGAGGCACCAACATTGCCCTGGACATTTACCTCCCTGGGACGAACCTTGCAGAAAGGGGAATATGAGGATTTGACCAAAGAGCCGCCTCGACGAGGACGACCTCCTGGCTCACTCAACAAACCAAAGGTCACAATCTTCAAGCCCAAGCGAGACGCAACCTCTTCTGCTTCAGCGTCCAGACCTGCAGATTCACCTGAACCTACTCAGCCTGACATGGTGGACTCTGATGAAGAGTTGATCCCCGATGATGATGGATTACCTCCTGAAGATCAACGAGATTCAGGACAAGATCAACCTTCTGCAGAAGTTCCAGGTGAAGAAAGGCCGGAAGACCTTGATGTGGATCGTCTTTTGGAAGATCCTCGCTACATGCCTATGAGAACAATTGCAGATGAAGAGCTGAAGAGAAGGAGGACTGAGTTTGCAAACCTTCGGAGATCTCATGAGATGGCCGACCGCCCCTTTCATGTGATGAAACAACTTGGAGATCCCGCTGCTGGACCACCTGCTCCCAATTTTTGGGTAATGGACGACTCCGAGAATGACATCTTTGGCGTCATCATCGACATGCCCAAGGATGAGACGGAGTGGAAAAAGGTCCTGAAGAACCCTGCCAAATTTGCAGCAAAGTCAGTATCGAAAGGTGCTGAAGTTGCCTGGCACAAACTCAATGCTACGCAACGTGCTGCGATGGCTGAGGCAAAGCAGTTGGAAGTTTCCCAATGGGTGCAGCAGAAAGTTTGCGAGCGTTTCAAAGGTGTGATTCCACCGAGTCGTTTGATGAGAACTCGATGGGTTTTGGTTTTCAAGTCGGTTGATGATGATGAGACAAAGGTGAAGTGCAAAGCACGAATTGTGCTGCTGGGTTTCACTGACCCTGACCTTGGCAACCTGGAGACCGCCGCCCCAACTTTGAGCCGGCGATCCCGCCAACTTTGCCTTTCCCTGTCGACTGTGAGACGCTGGAAGACCTACAAAGCTGATGCCAAATCTGCGTTTCTACAAGGTCGTCAGACCCAAAAGCACAGAGACATCTTCATCACACCCGTGGCCGAATTGGCCCAATCAATGGGCATTCCTCCCGGTGAAGGAGCTCGCATGTTGAAGGCCGCATATGGTTTGGTCTCTGCCCCTCGTGAATGGTTTGGCGAGGTGGATGAAGTGGCCGCCAATAAATGTGCCATGAAGAGGCTCAAGACAGACCCTTGCATCTGGATCAAACAGGATGCCCGGTCTGGAAGGACCATTGGCTACTTTGCCAGTCACGTTGATGATTTCTTGGTGGCCGGCGAGTGGGAGAATCCAGAATGGATCAAGACTGTGGAACTCTTCAAGCAGGCCTTTGTGTGGAGCCCCTGGGAAGAACAATCTTTTGCTCATTGTGGTGTTGCGCTGGAGCAAAACGCCGATTTCAGCTTCACGTTCAACCACAGCAACTACGTGGAGCAGATCAACCAGATCACCATCAATGACAAGGTGGACCACATTTCCCCTGAGGAGATGACACAAGCTCGCGCCGTGTTGGGCGCCATACAATGAAGAGCAATTCAAACTGGGCCCCAGCACTCGGCAAAACTTTCTTGGTTGCAGTCCGCATTGCCTCGAGGCTCTAAGGACATTCTGCACCAGATCAACAAGCTCTGCCGAGAATGCCACGCTCAACGTTTCCAGTCCATTGCTATCAAGAACCTTGGAATCCAAAGAGACGAAGACATAGCATTTGCATGTTGGACGGACGCAGCCGTTGGCAATAGGCCTGATATGTCTTCGACTGGAGGCTACATGGTTGCAATGGTGCATTCTGCCTTCCTCAATGGGCAGAAAGGTGTGGCAAACCCTATTTCATGGAAGAGTGGAAAACTTGGCCGAGTGGCGAAGTCTTCGTTGTCGGCCGAAATACAGGCCCTAGGTGATGGCGAGCAGGAGCTCATGTACATCAGAGCTGAATGGGCTGAGCTGACTGGCTATGAGCTCAACCTTCGGCAGCCTGAACTGGCAACTTCAAAAATCCCAGGCGCTGTGATCATCGATGCGAAGTCCGTCTATGACGCCTTCTACAAGGGCGAGGGAGCTTCATCAGCTTTTTCTATGAAAGAAAAATATGCAGCGCTGGATTTGATGGCCATCACCGAGAACCTCAGAAAACAGAACACACCACTTCTCTGGGTAGCATCGGATGCTCAGTTGGCTGACGGCCTTACCAAAGCAGCCGCCGCTGAAGCCCTACTTCATTTCCTTCAACGAGGGCAATTGTGGGTGGTGAAGTATGACCCGGAGTTCATTGCAGCAAAGCGTAAGAAGGCCAAAGGGCTTTCTGAGAAGATTTTAGATGATTTTGCTGAACCACCGTCCGACATGACGTGGCAACAGCTCATCCAACGACATGATTCTACCAACTACAGCGAAAACCTTTGGGGCATGCCAGTTTTCATGGTTCAGCCATTTGAACATTTCACTTCCGTTGGCAGAACATGTCATTCATATGTTTGTGACGTTCCTTTTACATCTCAAAAGGGACCCCTTCAGCCTGTCTAACAAACGTTAGACTTTGCGGCTACTGTTTTCTTTTGGTGCAAACAGTTGCACCTCCTGCGACGCCATACTGGTGGCTAGAAGCCGTTCGTGAGGATTGGCTGAAAAGGAGCGACAGCAAATCGAGAAGTGCAACAAGTTTCTTTGGGTGCAACGTGCGCCACTTGCTGTTGTCTTGTGCTACCAGTGTCGCAGTGACAATCAATCACCCTTGTTGTTTTTTTATATTCGCGTGAAATGCCCTGTGGTCTGCTGTGCGACGGTGCGAACGTTTGGTCAGGCTATGCTGCAGAGTCGACGCGGCTCTTTGACATTGGTGTTCGACTGCTGCGGATGGACACCATCATCCGTGAAACTGCCAATGATCCCAGCACGATTGGCCGAGCATATTCCGTCACCGTGCTGCTTGGCAGAATTTGCCGGAATTGGGGAACACATGGGAACACATTCAAATGAAGTCAAGAAAACATGAAAAGGAGAAATGAGAAATGGTCACTTCAAGAGCCCTTCTACCACACACCCTTTACAGGGCTGTAAATCCCCATTCCCTTTGCGGTCCCAGCTCCAAATGCAGAGACCCAGGTCCAATGCTGGGCTCTATGGCCTTGGGCCCAAAGATGGCCGCTATGGCCAGTTGAGACTGCAGAAAATCTACTTTGGAATCTCTGCAGCGATCAGTGGATCGTTGGTCTCAGCTTCATGCTTAACGGTGAATGGCGATTTGCTGGTGACTGCGGTGAGTGCCGCCCCCTTGGTGAACCGATCGCATCTGGAGACCTTTTCTGATTCGATGATTGGATCTTTGACCATCGCTGCAATGCAGAAGAAGCCCTTGTCAAGGAAGGGAACGCCACTCGTGGAGAATCCACTTGATCCCAGGGGTGGTCTGCCTTGGTACTACTTGCTGGAGACACCGACCCTCAGCCACACGCCAGCTGTATGTGCTGATTGGGTTTTAATTTCAGGATCCAATCCTTCGCAAATATGTCTTGCATTCCTTCCTGAGCCTTGTCAAATGAGGAAAGGTACCCTACAATGTCCAGAATACGAGGAGCTAAAAAGCTATTCGATGCCAGCATTTGATGTCGACAAGTACGCTCCTTGTCAAAATTGTTAGGATCCCTCGCTGCTTGAACAGGCTCTGCAGATAGTATAGTGTGATACAGTATGATCCTGCATGTGTTCTTGTGTGAGCCAACTAAAGCATTCTCGACTTGCACGCATGTCATACCATGATAGTTTTGGTGTGCGGCTTGCATCTTGCATCATAATGAGACACCCTGTGCAGTTCAAGGTCGGAGTTTGGTATGAATTGGCCTTCCACGACATTACGCAATGTAACGGCTGCGGCTGCACCCAATTCAACATGACACGGCATGGCAACGTCATTGAGGACATGCCAGTGCCTCAGTCTGCCTCAGCTGTGAGCGTTCTGGGTGGCCAGTGGCTGGGACAGTGGCTCGAGGTTTACGGTCACATGCCCATGGCCATGGACGAAGGGGGTTGATGGGCCATGGCTGCCGGGATACAATGTGAAGCTTGACCAGCAAGAATTACAGATCTGTCATCGGATGGGAATCAAGCAAGAGATTATATAAAGGAGCTGCAAGGAGTCAATGGCACTAATTTTACTTGAAACAGTTGAAACAATGGAAGAACCGAGGAATGGCAACAGACGCATGAACATGCGCGGGACTCAGGCTAATAACGCAGTTTTCACATTCTTGGTGCACCACCACACCACCACCACTATTGCTCAATCCGTATCAAAGTAACATATAGCTTCAGCCACATGTGGTTCTTAGTTTTTCGTAGTTGTTTGACAATATTCTGAGGTGGACATGTAACATGACCATGTACTACAAGCCGCAGAACCCCGGTGTGATGTTGGAGACAGGCTTCGGTCAGGAGTGTCTTGGTGCAAAGCTGAGCAAGTTGACGTTGAGGGCCAGCCTTCCAGCAAGCCCTTAAGCAGGTTCGACAACATGGTCCTGGAAATCTGGAGCGATCCTGAAATTACCGCGCAAACTGGCTATGAGTACACCCGATCCATTCAGTTCCAATGCCTAGGCAGGGCTGGTTGAGCTGACATCCGTTGACGTCCGTTATCTCCACACGGATCTTGACCTTCATCGCTGGCAGGTTCCGAGAGAGATGGGATTACCTTCACAGGAATCAACTTTCTCTCCCGGGTTCCCATTGTTGAGCCCGCTAAGCTGCATTAGAATCATTAGACGCCGCTGTCATATCGACAATATATCGGAAAAAAAGTCCTTCATTTATCATCCATGTATCACCCACGTATCATGCATTTATCATCCCTATCATTCCATGTCCTGCCTAGGCCTTCGATGATGCAAGAGATGTTTGTACGTGCTCGCGCATTGGGCTTGGAGCCATATGGATCCAATGACTGGCACTCAGGGAAACGGGAACACAGCAGAGGTATTACCAGGTTTCATCCATCCCCACTTGAGTTTCCTTGAGAATGGGCTGAGTGGGGCTCGGGCTGGATGCCAAGGACATGCATATCGTTGAGCACGTGACTTGGCTGCCACTGACTAATGCATCCTGAGATGGTTTCCAACTCAGACGGCACAAGATTGACAAACTTTGGAATAAGATGTGGGTGGCTGTGTTCAACCCCTGTTGGTTGATGATAAGCAGGGGTTTTACTACCCAATATATTGGGGATTATCACTGGTAATCACAATCCATGAGGGGAATCCCTATTGACCAACCAGTATATTTTCATGTCAGACGATGTGAGATGATTTTGCAGTCTCAGCCTAGTTACTCATGATCACATTTGCCAGATTGTTGGCATTAGTGCACTTGTTTCATAACACTCAGGCAGGATGCAGATATCCGCAAAGCACTGACAAGTCTTGGATGGGAGACAGGCCAGAATGGCCCTTCCCTGTTGTTGCCGGTGATTTTGGTGCTCAGCTTTAAAGAAGCTTGAAAAACCGGAACGAATAGACACCAAATCGTCAAGCGAAATTGATTGTTTGCAGCCATCCACTCAAAACGAGCCAGACGGAGACCGACACCCCAGACTCATCGTTGCTTGACGCTGGAAAAGAGATGGCTCTACGCATCTTGCTGGCCAGTGAAAAGCAGGCCCAAAGAAAATACAGCAAGTGCGAGATTGAGGTAGTGCAGGCTGCAAGTTCTCAGACCTGCAGGTCCTTTTTTTTATTGGCAGGGAGACGCACATACACACACACATGAGCCTGAAGAAAGAGAGAAATACATATGAACCGCAGCAAAATACCCTTGCTTCATGGCAAATCATGTTGCATCACGACAAAGATAAAGAGATCGTTAAAAATCAGAATTCCTGGGTGCCTTGAAGATGCTGCATTCAAAGTCCAGAGTTCGTGCTCATGTTTATCATTTTTTGAATAGCAACTCTGCGCGGTTTTCGGGCGCAAGTGCTGGCTGTGCTTGATTTCGAGAGCTTTGCTTGATGGAAAAAGATTCAGCATCATGGCTGCTGGCATAGCAATGGGGCAAACAGCACGGCACACATGATTCTATCGCTTTGGTTCGATTGGATCTCATTTCATTGTGAGAGTTGATGTTGATCATTCATGAATCACATTGCCATGATGGGCCGCGAAGGGTGATATGCTTTTGATTACTCTACACTGTACACGCGTGCGCACAGACACACACACACACACCAACAATATATCAAAATATATCAAGCATCAACACACACACACAATAGTCATTCCTAAAAAGGTAGAAAAGTAAATCCCCATCAAAATAGTGAAGATTCCCTTTTCTATTTTCTACCTTTTTTGATTCTTGTTGGAGGTTACTGAAAATATCATTACCATTCATTACCAGACCTTTCCAAAAACGGGGAGGTGAGCGACGACTTGGATCCACCACTTCGTTCTGGGCTGGTGCCCATGGCGAAACTTGGGACTTCAGCCGAAGTGCAACGCGAAGGTTTAGGAACTTTGGACTTCGGGAAGACATGCAGCCAATTTATGCCAATCTGAATCAATTTGATCGGGTTATATCATGTTATATCCAAGAATCTTCTTGCAACTGCCTGATTCTTTTTTTTCAACATCAAAGGTTTCGGAGTTTGTCGGAATCTTTTGCAGGGACTGGTGCCGCATGGTACCGCCAGGCCCCACCTCGGCCACCACCGTCCGTCATCTTGTCGTCTCTCTTTGATCAAGGAGGACAAAGCAAGACATGGAAAAACCTCTGCGTTGCCATGGGAAGACAGATGAGCCGCGTTCAAAACTCTCGGCAATTGATTTTAGTATTCGGTGGAATTTATTCTTCCAAAACTTGAATGGCGTCACACGCGCGCAAGCTTTTCACAAGCTTCGCGCAAGCTCATGTACGCGCAAGCTTCGCGCAAGCCCGAAATCACGTAAACACTTTAAACATAAATTTAAATCTAAATTGATATACAACGAAAAGGGTTACACAACATGGTGGCTCCTATGGCGTAAACCAACATTCGAGCAATCTGTAGGCTTTGGGCTCGGGTTACAAGAATTGCTCAGGGAATTTCGCGCAAGCTTCGCGCAAGCTTCGCGCAAGCAAAGGGGTTCCTGGCCACTATGCCCCCCAGCAACCGGTAGCAAGATGATCGTAGACTCGCAAACAAGCAAAACCACCTTGTAGCATCAAATACCTCGCAAAGCTGCGTGTACTGATTGTACTTTGGCTGAAGGCGATACACTCACTGGAGGCCATCAGGGACTAGACTGCTGGCAAAATAAGAACTGCGCTGAGTCGAGCCTAGAAGTCGAGAAGCCATCGAACAAGCCGAGAAGTCGAGAAGCCGAGAAACCACCGAACGAGCCAAGGAGCCGAGAATCTGAGAAGCCTAGAAAACCAAGTCCGAAAACAGCTTCGCGCCTACATCGCGCAAGCAAAAGTGCACGAAAACTCAGGACTTCATCTTCGCGCAAGGTCGCGCAAGCTCCGTTTGAAAAATTGACCGCGCGCAAGCTCCCATTGTGGTCGCGCAAGGATGGCGCAAGGATTTCGCGCAAGGATGAATAATTTCCATTCAGTTTTAATTGAAGTTTTGAACACCGCTCAGATGTGATAATTGATGATAATTGTGATATGATCTGACTTGAATTTAAGATTGTCATGTGTGGGTGCGTGTGTGCCTGCAGTCCGAAGCAAGTTCCATGGCGAAATCAAGAGCTTCAGCGAAGCCAAAGGTTTGGACCTGAGCTGTTGGTCAATTCATGGTCGAATATTTTAGAGCAAATGCATTTTCATGCAGTACCCTCTGGTAAATAAACATAGACCCTGAAAATCACCAATTTTTAATGGAAACTAATCTTTCCAACCCCTATCTGCCAGGGTCTATGTTAATTTACCAGAGGGTATCATGCGGCTAGATACCTTGACTCTCTTTATCTGTCTTTCCATCATAGTTGCCCAGTCTTTGATCCCATGTTCTTAGGCTACGGCTTTATCAGTTGTGAAAAGGTGTGGAATCTGCTACGGCGCCTCGGTATTCCATGGTATTCCATGCTATTCCATGGTATTCCATGCTATTCCTGCAGCACAGTTGAGATCGCTCAGACAGCCCTGCCGCAATGGATCAACCAGGTGTGACGTTCACTTCTCCTTGAGCGAGGTCTATGATGTGGATCCACAGCAGGTCAGCTTCTGGATTTCTGGATGTTGTTGGTGGGTTCAAACGTTTATATAAACTTTTTTTTCACCATCAGTGGTAACACTTTTATAATATCACTTAATATCACTTATATATATATACTTATATAATTATACAACCATGTGTAGACATGATCTATGAACTTACTAAGTACTAGTAGTTCAATTAACCATTAGTGACTTGCATGGACAGGCCGGAGGACGGATAGGATTTTCCAAAGAACAGGATCGAGGATTTGGGTCTCCCAGCCCAATCTCTCTCCATCGTTGTTGCTCCGCAGATCTCCGAGAAGGTGCGGGTAGGGTCGAAATGCACCTTTTGGTGCAACCTTGATCGCAGCGGACGGCCCCAGGCCTGGTTCTGCCGAGGACTGGTGAGGTATTTTGAGTTTTGGACATTGAAGCCTTGAAGCGCCATAAATCCATATAAATCCAACATTGGCACATCAACAAGCCACAGGTTGGAGGATGTGGGATGTTGGAGGATTTTGGAGGATGTTGGCGGTTTTTTTTCCTTTGTGTGCCTGTTCCTTCCTCGTGTGCGCGTGCCTGTTCCGTTTCAAGATTCGGGCATGAATTATATGTATATATATACATATACACACACACATATATATATATATTTGTCATTGTGTTAAAGGCAAAACTCGTCCAGATGCCCCGTGCTGATTTAGGCAGCATTCCCATATTAATGCCTATGCTGGGGGCCCATGCTATGCCGGTATCAACCCCCAATGGCTTGATCAGTGTTGGCGTTGCTTGGGTTCAGCGGTGAGGCCAAGGTGGTTCGGATCACCGAGGTGGCAGAAAGGCAGACGTGTCAAGTCTCCTGTTGTGATTGGGATGGAGACACAAAGATGGTGGCCTGAAATGCCTGAAATGGAAGACAGACTCAGTGCTAAACCAGGGTTTCTGAACCGGGATAACGGGTGTTTGTTGTTTGGGGAGGGAATGTTGGTTTAATCATTTAATCCCACAGAATTGTAAGAAATGCATCATATCTTATTCATATGGTGTATGAATACGTCCTGCTAGATCTTGAAGAACTCAAAATTAGCTTCGAAAGTAAAGTGCATAAAGTGCCAATAATTCTTCATTGGCTCGTGGCTAGTGCCCTTCCGCTCACATGGTCAGAGGCCGCCAGAAAACAAGACCCTGACCGAGACGGATCAAGTAAAGTGCCCTACGAAATCCTGCCAAAATGAAAGCATTGGCAATGGGAGATTCTGCTCTTCTGATTCTTCGAATCTCCATGCGAAAAGGTACGAGGGCCGTATCAAGTCATTCAAAGAAGACACAGGGTATGGCTTCATCAGCTGTGATGAGACGCGATGCTCCCAGCAAGCCTTTGACTTGACTCATAAAGTCAGAGTCAGAGTCAGAGGCCCTCCCACCAAATCATAATAATCCCTGAAGTGTACGAACAGAAAAGTAATGTGGACACTGCAGACAGCACAGGGGCATCCAAACTTGACGGATGATAAGACAGTCTTTGAGTGTGAGACACATCTCTGCACCAAGAAACTCTTTCATCAAGTATCTGAGTCAATATGCTTGCCATTAATCATTAGTACAAGCAATCATTTACTGCCATGTGGCCATGTACTGTATGGTAGTAGCGATCCACGGCGTGCCATACATTGTCCTACGAGGTTCAAAAAGTTCAATCGGGACGTCTTCCTCCATCACAAGCAGCTTGCCAACTGCAAAGCCAAGGCGCTGGTGGTCCAGTGGTTCAACGTAGGCTGTGCAAACTCAGCCTGAGATTCTGGGAGCATCAGCCCACGACTGCCGCAATGTCAGGTTGGAGATTTGGTCCGGTTCAAGATCTTCGAGTCCAAGGATTGATCGCATCGCCGGTTTTTTGGAACCAAAACCTGAAATATTATTGGTGCAAGTGATAGTGACTGATACATACTAATACTGGATGCATAGATGCCATGACCCATCATGACCCTGTAAGTTGGATGGAGTGAGACGAGACGCACCGAAACGGCTGAAGAAATTCATTCCCATGTCTGCCATCCACCTTGGCAGGGGCAGCCCAAAGCGTTGGGCTTGGAATTGATTGAGGCAGATTTGCGCGGGGCGAGATGGATGTTGCCAGGAGTGACATGTGACATGTGACATGATTATACATGATTGACATGCAATATGTATCGCAGTGACGTTCAGAAAATGCGGCAAGTTGGCAGAGTGAAGACTGAGCATAGCTATACCCTCTGGTTATTTAACATAGCCATGGGAAATGGCCCATTTATAGATGGTTTACCTATTAAAAATGGTGATTTTCCATGGCTATGTTAAATAACCAGATGGTATCCAGATGGTATATATATATATATATAGTTCATGTTAATTCCCTTCAACATGATTTGCAGGTCACATCAGATCACCACTGCCAGGCTGCTGATGCTCCTCAAAGCCCCCAAGCAAGTGACAAGGCCCGGCCAGGAACGAACCTAGGATCGACCTGTTTGGCGTTGAAAGCCAGCGCGAAGTAGTGGACCCATCTCCCCACGTCCAGCGTCTTAAGGTTCGATCGCAACAGCAGTTGGAAAAAGTTCATTGCTGTGTCCAATACTAAGACTGCAAGTGTGCGCATGTGAGGCTGCTGATGCTCCACACAGCCCTCAAACAGCAAGCGACAAGGCCGCATCAACACAGGCCAGGAATCAATGGATTTGAATGGATTTGATGCAAACCACCGGCTTCAATTGAGATCCTCAAGGGCTATTTCAAGATGTTTTGGCCATTTTGAGTGTGTTGCGGATGCTTTTGTATGATTGTTAATGATTGTAAGGACACGGCTTCTGCGCGTCTCTTGGACGATGAACAGGTACTCCAACTTCAAACATGCTTCATCCTCCGATTTTTCCCTAACAAGCTTGACTTGTCATGATTCCGGTTGTTAACATTCTGGCACGGATTCTCGGTTGAACTGTGTAGAGCTTGGATGCGTGGCATATTTTGATATATTTTGACCAAAGTTACGGTGCAATACCATATTAATCACGTACGCACAGGATCCAGCTGATCTTTGGGAGCAGGGTTGGACACGACTCACAGCTGCAGAGAGCTCTGATGTGTGGCGAAGCTTTTGGGATATGGATGGATATGGTGGGATGGTTCTGATGTTCACATTCACATGCCATTGTGAGTCGGTTGACCGAAAAGTTTCTCCATGTTTGGAGATCTAAGGATACCGCATCTCAGAGTCTTCGGACGAGTACTGGTGCGCTAAATCTCTGCCGGGGTGTTTTCAGTCACGAAAGCTAGCGGTGGCTACCAGTAGCTGCATTTGCGTTTGCTTTGGAAAAGATGGTGTTGGGGGCCCCGAGGGCAGCTTGGCCTCTGTCTGCATGAAGTTTCGCTTATTGCAACCCCCCCTGAGCCCCCACTCTCAGTGGGCAGCCAAGCATGTTGCAGACGCTAGTAATTACGGTACGCAGAAAGCTGCGCAACAAGGTGACTACCTTTTCCTCCTATACTAGACGTACCGCTTCCTAATGCTGTGGCGCCCGAATGCTACGAAGTTGTGCTACTTTCCTCGAATACGGTGGCTATGCACCCTCCTCCCCTCTCACACATGGGAAGAACTCTAGCGAGATTGTTTATGGGTGTGGACATGATGCAGTTTGTTGCGGTGTTTTGGTGGAGCGCCGAAAGTGTCCTTTTTCTTTGCGGGCTATCAGCCATGGTGAACAGCTTGACATGTCCTTGAATAGTTTTGTTCCACCTTCTTCCTGTATCTTTCAGGCTGTCACAACCATGACGTGGTGACATAGCTTTTGTCCACCCCCCGGCCTCAAGTGTCGAGGAGCTAATCTTTTTGGTACTAGTAATAATGTAGTAGGGCTGGGCTGCACTGAGCATGGGATGAGCCTTCGAAATCATGCCAGCACAGTATGTCACTTCCACTGTTCATGCCCATTCGGCCATTCGGGTTCGTGACTAGGCTGCTGTTTCTCCATTGACCCGTGAAGGTGGTGCCGGGAAAAGACCAACGAGTACTTTTTGGAAAGCGAACCTGGCCAATCTCTCAGCCAAATGGCCTTTGTGAGCAGCCTTTGGGTGGAGAGGGTTGCCAGCAGATTTGCTGGAACGTGCTTGCATGGAGGGGGTGCGGTCATCACGGTGATGGTGATTGTGATGAGGATGGCACGCTCAGATTGCTACGATGGTGCTGATGCTGCTGCTACTGCTACTGCTGCTGCTGCTACTGCTGCTGCTGCTGCTGTTGTTGTTGTTGTGGTGGCTGGTGCTGATGGTGGTGGTGGTGGTGGTCGTGATGAGAAAGAAGAATAATTGCAAGAGAACCAAAAAGAATGTGATGAACAAATATGAACAAGACATTTTAAAAGAAGGTGAACATGTCGGGAGCGGAAAACCCTTTGTTCTTCCAGTTTGTCAGCTCTGTGAGAAGCGCCGAATCCTCAGATGAGTGGTCGAAATTCCTCGATCCGAACACAGCTAAAGAATATTGGTGGCACCAGAGTGGAAGGTGCTGCGCTTGGCATGGAACTTTCTCAACCGCAGTGTGTAAGCCCTTTAGGCCCATGTCCGAATCATTGATAATCCTATTCTGAAAGGTGGAAGGTGGCCAGGTGATATCAGGTGATATGAGATTTTATGATTATTTTATGGCCTTTGCTTACAGCTTAAAGCGAGAGATTGCTTGCCATTTGACATTCCTCATGGCATCCTTGGAACGCTTCGTTGGTGTTGGTAGGGACTGAATGCGGTATCGACACATATGCATCTGATATCTGTAGCCTTGAAACCTAAAGACCCAGCCATCAGTTCTAACATCTTTATCTGGAGTCATTGAGTCAATGGACAGTTGGATAGTTGGGATATGTTAGGATAGTTGCTGTATGTTGCTGTAATTGTACGTAATTGCGCCGCCAACTCTTGCCTGGAGGTGCTTTTGGGTATGAGGCTCTGAAAGATGCCTGAAGATGTTGACATCATGTGCCTGATGAGTTTGGCAGGCAATAAGAATTGCAACGGGGGGCCTGCGGGCTCTCCACAATTGCACTCTAGTGCGCCTCAAATCACCTGGAGACACTTCACTCATCTTCAATCTGTCTTAATTTACTTGTCAATTGTGCCCGAGGGCCTATGAGGCGTTGTGGTGCTTTGCGATTATATTTCCATAATATATATATATATATACATACACATATATAATTATATATATATAATATTATATCTAAGATCTACGTATATTACATGCATGTATCTCCTACTTGCCGTTTTTTCCAGATCCCGTGTTTCAAGACAACTCGACGTCTCCATGCTGGTGATGGCAGATCTTGAGGCCTTCTCTTGTCACATAGCTGAAACATCTTAGATATGCCCCTATGCCGCGGTACAGCTTAGCCTTTTCATATTCGCAGGTCAATGGCCTGAGGATAGATGGATGATTGGGCTATCTGTTACCATCCGCAGATCTCCTTGGGGAGCGCCGTGCTAAAAGAGAAGCTGCAGCAAATGGCTTGCCAGATCCATCGATTGCATTCCCATCATCTCAGGCAAAGTGTCATCCTTCTTGCGTTTGTTAGACCACTGCTGTCGGTTTCTCTGATGTCCCTTTCGGTTCGAGGCTGTGGCGGTGTTAGTAAAGGATTCTGTTGAAGTGCAGATCAGGCAGACCAGGAGTGGTTTCTTTCTGTAGCATTTGGAGCTGCGGACCCATATGCGTGACATGCCATACCCATCTAAAGAGATCCGAGTTTGAAACCACTTGATGTCCCTTGAAAGCTACCAGGGCTGAGGGTTTGTGCTCCGCCATGTGGGTGTAACTTGGCCAAGTTCTGGTGGCCCTGGCATTGCCAGGCCTGGGTTTGAAGCTTGGGTTGGGTGGAGCCTCGGTGGAGCCTCAGAAATCGATCTTACCTGGTTTTGCGATGTCTCAAGTGAGATCCACTGTATAGCTGTATAATAATAATTAATGATAACAATACTACTATACTACTACTAATAATGATAATAATATTCCGGTTGGCCCACAAAGCAATCATCAAACACACACACACACAGAATATAATGTGCGTGTGGGGTAGAAATGATGAACACATATTTGAAAAACAAATGAATTGAACAAGCAATATCCATTCGCAGATCTGCAGAATTTGTTGCATTTTTTGAGTAAGTCAATTTCTTTCAGAAGGATGGCAGCTTTGCTGGGCAGGCATGACATCGCCCCGCAGCAGCAGCAGCTCCAGAAGCCCACAAGGAAGCAGCTCCAATCAAAGCCCTCGGAGTGAGAGATAATTAGTGAGAGCCCATGAGTCTCATGGGCTCTCACTCCGAGGGCTTTGACTGGAACTGCTTCCTCGTGGCCATGAGACAGCCCTCGTGGTGACAGTCCTCGAGGTTCGTTGCTTGGGGGCGAAAGATGGGTTTGTCCGAATATGAGGTATACCGTACCATACCGTACCCATGTACAAGGTACATCCCGTTAACACAGTTCTATAAAATTCTTCTAATTACCCGGATTCGTCGAATCATTGGCTCCGATCGACCACTGCTTTGGGATGGATTCGCCACCAGATCGAATGTCTTCAATTTCTTGAGTTGGCTCAGTAGTTATCCCGATTTTTGTTGGTGATCTTCCCATTTTTGGTTGTTCCCCAGGTATTGCTGATGAGGTTTCTCATTGTTGTTGGTAAGATTTGCGGAAATCATCCAGCTGGCCGCAGGTCGTAGAAACTTGGCAAGGCAGCGCAGAAATTCCACTCACGAGGTGACGCTTAACACGGAGATGTCGATGCTTCCGCCGATTAGTCAACAAAATCGGCATGGAAGAGTATAAAAATTGTGAGCCCCAATTGTGAGTATGTATTTAATTATATAATTACATAATATATATATATATAGATTGAACTTGATTTTGCATCAACTTTGTCAAGATGGCTGGATGGTTTTGATTTCGTCGCAGGATTCTCCACGCTGGCAGAGCCCGCCTCGGAAGCGTCCTGCTGGACGGAGCAACTCTTCCCAGTTGGCAGATGTGGATAGATGTGGCATTTCAAGCTGCAAATCTGGAGTGTGGTTAGTGGTTGGTTATGTTTATTTATGTTTGTTCGTGTTTTGGAAGGGACAACATTTAACGAACCCGAAGCATCCCGGGGCGCGTCATCAGATTCCAAGTTCTTTTAGCTGGAGCGTGCCGAGCTAAAAGAGCCAGCAAAACCCAAGAGCAAAGCATAAGCAAGGAAAGGGTTCAAAAAAGGGGCTTTTTCAGACAAAACATGTGGGCAAAGACCTATAGTTTCTCGAATTTCATGGATTTATATTATTTAATGTTGTCGACTGATTAGTGTGAGTGCCCCCCCCCCCTCCCCCCCTAAACAATTTTAGTCTACTGAATAACTGACCATTTTTTTGCGCCCCCCCCCTCAACATTTTTTTTTGAATATTTATTTTTAATTGATTTCAATTTACTTTCAATTGATTTCAATTTACTTTCAATTGATTTCAAATTACTTTCAATTGATTTCAATTTACGTTCAATTGATTTCAATTTACTGTCAAATGATTTCAATTTACGTTCAATTGATTTCAATTTACTTTCAATTGATTTCCATTTACTTTCAACCCCAAAAGTTGTTTGGCACAATAGAGTACCACCCAAACATTCATATTATTGAGTAACTGGGCCACTCATGGGGTACCACCTTGAAAAATTGTTTGGGTGCTGTTTTTAAATAAGGGTTTAATAAGGCATCTAATTATTTGGAAAACCTTGCATTTTAAAGCTTTAACACAAATATAGCTTTCTAAAGTAAATGGACCAGCTTTACTCAAAGAAAGGTGGAGAAAGGGTTTTTGTTTTTTTTTTCAACCCCAAAAGTTGTTTGGCACAATAGAGTACCACCCAAACATTCATATTATTGAGTAACTGGGCCACTCATGGGGTACCACCTTGAAAAATTGTTTGGGTGCTGTTTTTAAATAAGGGTTTAATAAGGCATCTAATTATTTGGAAAATCTTGCATTTTAAAGCTTTAACACAAATATGGCTTTCTAAAGTAAATGGACCAGCTTTACTCAAAGAAAGTTGGAGAAAGTTTTTTTTTTTCAACCCCAAGAGTTGTTTGGCACAATAGAGTACCACCCAAACATTCATATTATTGAGTAACTGGGCCACTCATGGGGTACCACCTTGAAAAATTGTTTGGGTGCTGTTTTTAAATAAGGGTTTAATACGGCATCTAATTATTTGGAAAATCTTGCATTTTAAAGCTTTAACACAAATATGGCTTTCTAAAGTAAATGGACCAGCTTTACTCAAAGAAAGTTGGAGAAAGGTTTTTTTTTTTAACCCCAAGAGTTGTTTGGCACAATAGAGTACCACCCAAACATTCATATTATTGAGTAACTGGGCCACTCATGGGGTACCACCTTGAAAAATTGTTTGGGTGCTGTTTTTAAATAAGGGTTTAATAAGGCATCTAATTATTTGGAAAACCTTGCATTTTAAAGCTTTAACACAAATATTGCTTTCTAAAGTAAATGGACCAGCTTTACTCCAAGAAAGGTGGAGAAGGTTTTTGATTTTTTTCAACCCCAAAAGTTGTTGGGCACAATAGAGTACCATCCAAACATTCATATTATTGAGTAACTGAGCCACTCATGAGGTACCCCCTTGAAAAATTGTTTGGGTGTTGTTTTTAAATAAGGGTTTAATAATGCATCTAATTATTTGGAAAACCTTGCATTTGAAAGCTTCAATAAAAAAATGAAAAATTGAAAACATTTTTAATTGATTTAAAAATAAATTCAAAAATAGGAAAACAAAAACTAAAAAAAATTGAATCAAAAAACATCCAAAAAAATCTGAAAAAAACTTGCCACAATAGAGGCCCCCCCCCCAAACAGCATGGAACTGAATAAGGAGGAAATTTTTGCCACAATAGAGTACCATGCTACTAATCAGGTGCTAACATTATATGGATTTATCAGTCTCCTCTTTCACCCTGTTCAGGTCGTGAAGAATGATGAGATAGAGGACTTGAGAGAGTCATTACACAGAGGTGGAGTGATAGCCAGAAAGAGCGTGGGAGAGCCTCTCGGCCTCTCGGCTTCATGAGGTCGCAAAGAATCACCCGGCCATTCCTGATATTTCCCGACAGCCATCGACAGCCATCGACAGCCATCGACAGCCCATTTCTGTTGATCATTCTCTGCAAGGTTTCTGAAGGGCTTCCGCATCGCGGTGCTGGCAAGACTTGAAGCTTAAAGCATTCGGCATCACCGGCTTGAAGGCCGGGCTGTTAGGTGGGCTCCCTTGGGCACTCTGATATCATTGGGGAAAAGACCGCTGAAATGGCACTCCCACAGTGTCCAAGTACACGATCTCATTTCGATATACTTGGATGAATAAGCTTGGGCAAGCTTGGGCATACGGGGCCCTCCATGTTTCCCTAGATGCACCTTTCATTTCAGGATGGTGATGAAGTTGATCCGCGATTGGCATCTGTGGTGCAGGACTCCTTGGCGGGAAGCACCTGGGCAAATATCCGCCACGCGGTGATAGGTGGTATAGTATCTTCGACGTGCTTGATTCAACTTTTAAGCCAAGGCAGAGAAGACGACAGAGATATTCGCTTGTATGCTCGCCCCCGGTGCTTCGGACGCACTTGCTTGTGGCACAGGAACAGATACAGGAGCTGCTTAGGTGGCTGGTAGATGGCATTTGCAGTTTTCAACTCTGTCTTTTAATTCGACACTCCAAACAACATGAAAGTACTATGACAAACTATGATAAACTGATGATACATATTTGAAAAAGTAACAAACACCATTTATAATACACGGACCTATTCTTGCAAGGTCTTCTCGCACCTTGTTCAAGAAGGCAGACACTCATCCAAGGTGATATGTGCCTGAAGAGACGGTCCGAATCGGCAGATGCAGGGCGGTTCCAAACATCTCCAAACAGATCTAAATTCTATGCCTTTGATCCCGGCGATTCTGAAGGTTTTGAGATTTTTGAGACGCAAACGTCAAGGCCATGGTTCATAATGGATATATATAATATGATATAATTCAGATTGCCCTCACTGTGATTATCTGTGATTTATGATCCACTCAGATCTGCTCTTTGAACAAAATGGGGTGAGTTGACCTGGTAGTAGGTGTGTATATATATATATAATTATATATATATAATATGTATATACATATAGTAGAAATATAGATGTGAGATGTGAGAAAACATCTGATCGAAGTAGCGGTTGCACGTAGTTGCACCATGAAACAGTCAGGTGAATCAATTGAATCAGGCTGAACACTGCCCGTGCACCACCGGGAAATAAAACCGTCAATCATCCATCAGTTTTCGGAATCACTCTTGCTGGATGAATTCGGAGAGGTATTTCTGCGATTGAAACATATGGGTGGCTACCCCGAGCATCCCGAGCCTCACAGATTTTCCAAGAAGTTCAGAGATTGCCTGAGAAAAACTGCGAAGGCAAGCTGTCAACGGCTTTGGCTGAAGAGATCTACAAGAATGAGGAATGAGATAATCTGGGAATGGTCGTAGAGCTCTATCCCAAGAGCATCATGGGGCAGCCTCTTGTCATGTGTTCGTTTGTGCGGGATTATGATTTTGCATGATTTTGCATGATTTCGAGGATAATTGCCTTGAACAATTGCCTTGAATTTGTCATTCAGGGTTTCTTTTTTGGGGACACTTTATCAATCTTTATACAGTTTAATCTTTATACTGTTTATACTTATTATATGCATTTTGGAGGCGGAGGGTTTTGGACCTGAAAGTAGACACACTCAAAGGCCATCAAGGGACCTGGAATGGGTCATACAAAAGCTGTTAATTCCAGATAGACAATTCCCAATCAGTATTACCCTCTGGCGATTCGACATAGCTGCACATAGCTATGGAAAACATGATTTATGAATATTTATGATGATTTATCCATAAAAAAATGGGTTGTTTTTGATGATTTTTCTCCAGTCCAAACGATCCAAACGTGAAGGTATCAGGGCCAAGCGCGAGCTCCGAGCGGCCTTTCGGCAGATGGCTGAGTCTTGGTACACTTGGAACTTGCTACGCGATAGCAACACAGATGGGTCTGTAAATGGAGGATTAATCTCCCATTTAATTATATCAATTTACTATGGCAATTGTAGTATGGAAATAGATGGAACACGATGATCAGCCAGTGGATTTGGGGTGGTACCCTATTGTCAGACGAACCCACATCTCATTTTCTGAACTTCCAATCTCCAAATCCCCAATGTGCTGAAAATCACTGCATCTCGAGAGTGCAAAAAACGATGAACAACGTCGGCAAACGCTAGTTCATGCTGTGTTGTTCGATGTTGTTTTCGCTGTTTGTTAAGTTCGTGTCATTCAGCTTGCAACTGCAACTGATATTGTGGGCAAGGACCACGTCCTCCTCACAAATCTCAACCACAAGAACACACTCGTGGCAGATGTGGCTGAGCTCCTGCTTGAAGCTCTGAACTAGGGCCTTGGGACAACATTTTGTGAGATGCGGTATTTAGTTTTGATATGTTTTTAGTCGATGTAGAGTAGATTTAGATCTTGAGGGTTCGTGCATCTAGCTTCTCCAAATTGAGATTGTGGAAAACATTATGAAATCACCACAACATACCAACCCATCAGTTCCCGTGGTAAATCGGATAAAAGATCTCAAACGAAGGGGACCTGAATCGGCTTCAGCCCATGCGGTACTGAGCAGCGCTGCTCAGCCGAGCTGACGCTTTGGCAGCCGCAGTGGGCTTAGGAAAGGTGCAAAACGGTCACGTCCATGGCCGTGAAACTACCAGATGCATCCATGGATAGCAATCTGCAATCGCTGCCAAGAAATAGACAGCATATATCAGCATATAAACAGATAGAAACGTGTCATAGTATTTCTTGATATTTCTTGAAGTTTCTTGTGGGCTTTGGCCAGCGGCTTCTTTTAGGAAGTCTTGGGCACCCCCGTGCAAAGTACTGGGGTCCCAAGGAGTGTACAGCTCACAGGTGCATCTTGTTGAAAAGAAGATGTGCCGCAATTCGGTGCATGTAACTCCCAAAGGCAGGTGACGCAACATTTTTGATTCAAATCAGTTGCAGCTGTGGTGGAGTCTTCGAGTCATCTTGGAGTCTAAGCATTCTGGTCCAGCTTGCACTGCAACATGATCAAGATGGTGCAGATGTACTTGGTGGTGCACTGTGCAACTTGGTGCACGTTCATTTCTGGCTGTTCGCACGATCGCGCCATTCAGCTTGTTTCAACAATGACACGGCGGACTCTAGATGAGGATGTAGCATTTTCATTGCATTTTCTACTTCGCTTGGATGATTTGAATTTGACCTACCCAAGGAAGTGGAGATCCCCTAGCAAAAAGTCAGTCCAGTATGTAAAGTCATGTCCATTGTCCAGTCGAAATGCGGGGTTTCACATGGTTTCACACCGCCTTGGGTGGAGTCCAAATCCGTAGAGGTGCAAGGCTCGCTGCGGGCATGGATTGTCATGGATTGTCTACCCCCATTGAAAGGACAGAGGAACTCAAGGTTCTGGAAATTGGAAGGGCGAAATTCAGGGCGATCTTGTTGAGCTTCTGCAAGTTGTCTTTCCTCTCATGAAGTGCGAGTAGATTCTAGCCGTCGGATTTCTCAATGAATCCACTCAGCTTGCGAAAGCAGATGCAAAGATAATGCAAGCCATGCACGGCACGCGCACCTCCGTGTCCGTATCCCACATCCAGGAACACTTCGCCAAATCAAAGTCAAATGAGCACATGGAAACTTATTATGGGCGACGCAAGCCTGCAGCAAGAAACGAAGCATCAACATCGAGGTTGTCAATGGCAGTGTTTGCAGTGGGAATGATTTACGTATATTTACGTTTTGAAGCGTCAACAGTCAACGGAAGAATCAAGAGACCAGTGACATCCAGTGATCTTTGCCATGCGGGGATTCTGGTTGCTGGCCGCTTGGTCGCTTCGCGAAGCGGCTGGAGCAGATCAGAGTGAGAATTGTGGGATTTGGGCCGCTGCTGGTGAGTGCACTCGAAATGCGGCCTACATGCTCAAGGCCATGGGCCCATGGGCGGCTGTGCCATGTGCCAAGAAGAGTATTGTGGGTGGTTTTCTTGGATACAGATGGATACAGTATAGTTGGAAAACATTGGAAAACCAATGGCCACCTGGATTTGAGATGATTTGAGTGGGTTCCGGAGTAATGTCACCTCCACACTCGTTGATCTCGTTGCATTGTCCCAGGCTTGCTCAGAAAGCTGCAGCTCAGTCAGTTCCAAAGAATCGCCCAAATGCCGTGAGTGGGCAGATGCAGGCGAATGTAGCAGAAATGCTGCTTTCATGCTCAAGGACACGCTGTGGGGTATGATGCCCTGTGCCATACTTGAAGAAACTTGGAACATTTCACCACCTGGGGCAGGAGTCACTAGGATCAGAGAGAGTGATCTGAAATGAACAGATCCTGCAGCCCCCACATGCGCCACATCGTCCCGTGGAGGAGTGTGGCAACTTCTGTCCATCCGAAAAAGGCGAGATGGAAGAGTGCGAGCAGTGGGCTCGCGCAGGCGAATGCGATCGGAACCCTGAGTTCATGCTGAAGAAGTGTGCTTCAAGTTGTGGCAGCTTGAAGCAGGACCACTGGAAATCTGGGAATCTCTGCGGCACTCTGCGGAGTGTAAGTTGAGTTGAAGTTTCATGCTAAGATGGAAATTGCAGGTGCCAAGGTCGTAGTGACAGTATATGACAGTATATTGATCATTAATGACCCATCCTTTGGGTCAGATGTGTTGCCGTTTGCCATGCCTGAGGCCTCAGACTTTGAAGGTCACATCCCAAACCATCCCAGAATCGGCTTAATTACATGAGGCTAAATTTGCATCACTTTGGGGGTAACAACATATATGAACATATAATGTAAGTAACCATAGTTTCCCCCAAAAGTTCCCTTAAAGAAAGTGCCTTGAATCAATGCATTGATACCAGGCAATGCGCGAAACGGTCGCAGGAGCCTTTGAGACAGGCAGCCGAAGCCTCAAAGGCAGAAGCTCGCGCTGTCAAAGCAGAGGCACAGCTACAAGCAGCCAGGAAGGAAATCGAGGCGCTTGGCGGCTGTGATATGCTGTGATGGTGATGACTTGTCATGATTATATGGTAATGATCAGTAATGAACAGACATGATTAGTATTGATATCATACATTATCATACTGATTTCCAATACCATCGAATCATCATGAATCACCTATATTATTCATTTATATTGTTCATCTACAATTATTAACCCATATAGTCCATATATTCCATGATCATTGAAGATCATTGTTAGCTTTCTGGTGCTATTGTCAATCTTGCGCCAGGAGATGCAGCGATTTCTATCTGAGGCCAACAAGCTGGCACTCGAACAAGCAGAGAAGCAGCACCTTGGATGTCGGATCTGGGAGGTTTAGCTGCGTGCAGCAGCTGATGTGTGATATTGGATGATGTTGGCACATATAAACACAATCCATGCAGACAGACGGACAGACATACATACATACATACATACATATATATATATATGTATAATTTGATATACACATACATATTTCATCATATTTCATCTGCACTACACAGTATATTATACGGACTGATCACGTGTAGAGGGAAGAGCTCCCACGGAGGGAAATTACAAACATTACCATTGGGTTAACTTCCAAGTGTTGTGGAATTTCACATCATCAGACCAAAACACCCTGGGGCTTATTCTTTGGGCATGCTGGTATGAGGCCGCCCAAAATCCCACTTGCTTAGAATCCTTGCTGAACTGCAGACCATATGTATTATGAATTGATAACACACCCTTGGATTTCCAAGTGAAGCCTTATTTGCCTTAACAGATGCCTTACTTAAGAATAAATGCCCCAAGACCCGGATGACTTCTTTTCGCACGTGCAAAAAAGAAGTCGGGGCATCATTTCCGATGTCCTCTTTTTGTGAGTAGGGAAATAGACAAACACACACAAACCCACACAAATAATCCATTCAACACGCATAAACAGACCTGTTGTCACTTGTTTTTCGAAACAGGTGGGGACCTCGAGTAACTCCCAAGAACCATTGCAGTTGCTGTGATCTCATCAGATCTTACTCACTGAGGGACGAGCAGAAGATACGGAAGTTAGATCTGGCAAGGACAGTGGCAGAGGAGAAAGAGAAGCAACTCAGAGAGGTCCATGGTCGTTGGAGAATCTCTTTAGGCTACCATTTCTGAATTGTTAGGCATTTTTGGGCACTGTTAGACATGTTGGTGAGCGGACGTGGGTACGTGCATATGCACATAGTTGCGCTCTGCATAGATTAGCGAGATAGCTATATAGGAATAGGGAAAGATGGATCGAGATAAATAGGGATGATAGGTTGGATGGATTGGACTAGATCAGCTCAGGTCAAATTCGACACTTAGAGATGCGAGAGATTAAAACAGACACGCCAAAGCACATGTTTAAAAAGTTTAACAACAGTGTGATGTGACTATCTGATGCAAGCCTTTGTCCTTTGCCGAAACCTTTTGCCAGGCCTTGGAGAGCTCAAAGTCCCGGACGGCCATCTTGGAGGAACAGCTGGCAGCCTTGAAAGCTGACATGGAGAAAATCACCAAGGAAAAAGGAGAGAAATCCCCAGCACGGCCACGGACTCCGCCTGCGCCTCGGAAAGTGGGGGGACCCAGCTACGCCTTGGTGGTGCCGGAAGAGAATGAGACGCTTGGATCTGAGATTCGATGGTGTTGTGACCCATTCCCTTCAGACTTCGTTTTTTTTTCGACCGGGGGGCTATTTGCATGAGAAGACATGGCCATTTGAAAGCCCACACTTGAACTTGAACCAATAGTTCTTAAGACAGATGGCGGATTTTCCACATGGATCTGGTAGATCACAAGGATAAGGGTGAACTTTTAATTAGATTGGCCTGCCCTCGCCAGAGTCTTAATATGTCTTAATACTATAGCGTAACTATGAGTGCAATAATGTGCAATATTTGATTGTGAGAGTGATTGTTTGCACAGAACATCAAAATGCAGCCTTTTCGCTTCTGAAATCACAGAAATATTGCGGGTTCAGCCCCAAATTCTGCCACTTCTGTCCCCAGCAAAGGACAGCGTGTGAACAGTCGCTGCATCGGCTTTGTGGGGGTAACTTGGATGGGCAACGGCCCGATCTGGCTGAAGTGCTGCAAGCATGTCAGCATGCTGTGAAGGAGTTGGTGTTGTGGTCCTTTCCGATCGCTCAGCTTAGCCGGGCTATACATTAGACAATATCGGCGACGGTGATAAAAGTTGCTTCCCACACTGAGACATTTCTAGAGACACTCCTTTGATGTGCTGTAGTTGCATGTCATGTCAGCATGTCAGCATGTTTACCCCATGTAGCTGGGGGATGATACTGGCTGACCCTGCAGGAGATTGAGAAGGAGATGAAGCTCCGAGCCATTATCACCAGCCCTATTATTGAAGCACCAAGGGATCGCGAAGCGTGCCCAAGTCAACCACAAATCGTGAGATCTGAAGGTCAGAGATTGAACGAGGATGAAGAGCTCTTGTTCTTTTTCTCAGGTCAAGTGCTGTGTGATGGCAATTGCTCCTCTGGGCTCATGCTGTCATCTGTGAAAGCTGCCTTACAACAGTCCTTTCAGCTATTTCTTGATGGTTTCCTAGTGGCCCTCAACCATGGCTTGGGCGCAGACCCTGACAAGGGCCGGGCAGCTGCCTCGCATGCCAGCAAGATTTTCCGACGTCTCCGGGAAAAGCTTTGGACAAAGATTACATCCAAGCTAGCTGTTCTGGAGGCAGCGATGGAGAAACTTCATCCGCAGGTGTCTGAAGTCAAAGCTCAGGTGTTTGATACCACCAGCACTTTGGCACAGAGTAGCAAGGAAAAGATGGAGAATGCCTTCAACAAGATCACTTTAGCCTTTCCTGCTGAGCACCAGACATTCTTACCAAAACCATCGTCATTGCCAGAACAGTCTCTGGTGTTGGTATGGTTTCTTGCAGTAGCATTCGTTTGCTCGAGGCTCTTGACCGTCGCGATACGGCTCAGCGTCAAGCTCTTGGTGGTGTTGCCATGCCACGTGTTGCGGGTCACCTGTCGATGCTGTTTACGTTGCTTGTGTCCCTGCGAGCGGAAGAAAATCCAAAAGGTTTAGGTAGGACCAGGTAGGACAAGCAACTATGCTGAGGTTGCTGGCACACCTGTATATGTATCATGTATATATGTGGAATCATTTTCACTTGGGGCAGTGGCGTTGCGAAATTCCGCGACGGGACATGCCCGTTGGATGTACAAAATGGCATTAATCCACGAGCGTTGCCCATATCAAAAGCTGTGTAGATTCTCGGAGCATTTTCAGTGAAAGGTTCGCACAATTTCGGACGGGTAGCATCAGGTAGCTCCTCCAACATATCTCCAACATGTAGGACAATTTCAAAGTCCATCTCGCTATGCCCTTGTCATCTCCCAGCTGCTGTGCTGGAAAGTTGCGCTTTGCCATGCTTCGCCTAACACCGTGCAGGCGACAAGATGGGCAATGACCACGTGCCGAGCCAGCAAAATGGATCAAAGTGGGTTTTCTGCTGACCTGTTCAACCCGTTCGTGATCAGATTCCGATTTTCAGACACGAATTTGTAACAAATTGCTAAAAATTGACAAATTGCTAAAAATTGCACAGAGTTGCTAAACAATTGCGAATAATGACTAGTCTATAATGGCTGCGTTTGGCGATGCACGAGGGAGATTTATTGGCTGCTACCGTGGCCATTTCAGCTGACGTGGAATGGCTGGAGCAGCGCCACCAGGGGCACCGTTGGGCACCGCTGCGGGCCAAGGAAATGTCAATTCATGATAGTCATCTTAGTTTAGTGGAGGATTGTCGAAACGAAATTTGTAAAGCCAGCTGAACTAGCTGAGATTCATTGAGATTCTCTTCTCTGTCACTTTGGAATACTTTTGAGGATGCCTTCCGAACTGCCCTCTAAGGATGATGCTCTTCTTGAGAAGGGCGCGTTTGCGTTTGGTCCTTGGAAGTTTAGCCGAGGGACATGGATGATCAACACGTGATCAAATATAATCAAACGGATCAATCCGCATCCGATGACCTACTCATGACAGACAATTGCGGAATCAAAAGACAAATAAGACAAGGGATCTACGACAGTCAGTCTAGGGGAGGGGAGAGATGGGAGAGCAATGGTCAGCTGGAACTTGATTTGAACTTAAGCCATCTCAAGCCTGAGATTTGCGCACCTACGACCTTTCAATTTGTCGATTGGATGAGTTTGTAGACCCCAAGCCAGGCATGCATCATTTGGATTCGTTTGGATTTTTACTTTGGGCATCTCGTTTGGCATGAAGACCCCCAAATTTCCAAAGATTGGTTCACACATCTTCTGTTTTGGATTGTTTTGGTGGGTTTCCCGACCTTTGCAGACAATTTTAGTCCTGAAGACAGTAGGACTTTACGGTGGCCCAACCCACGTGTCAATGCCAATATATGCCAATCCATCACCAGGTCCTCAAGTCTTCCGGTGGCGAGCACTGGTCCTCAGTGATGTTTTTTTGTTTGGGGGGGGGCAGGGCGAGACATAAATTCACCAAGCGACGACTTTGATTTCGGTTTCTTAAGGTGTTTTTTTGGTGATCGAGCAAAGTCTGTCAATTCAACTAGGGGCTCGAATTGTTTCGAGATGTCTTGAGAAACATTGAGTGGGAGAGCGTTAGATGGCATTGAAGTGAAAGGCTTTTGCCGGAGTAGCTGACCGTCCAGCACTTCGTTTCTCGTCGGGCTCTTGACATTGCTGAGACTGGAGACGGGTAAACTTGCTGCGTTCATGCATTGTTTGCAGAATATGCGTTCTCCTTTGATGGAAAGGCGGGGACGTGTCGCTTTGCTTGCCCTATGTGGTGCGGGTGACGGGCTTGCTTTTTCGCACGTTCCGCTGGTGATTTTGGATGAAATAAGGATCAGGCGATCATACTGCATCATACTGCCAGATGTCGCGAACGGTTCCTTTGTGAAGCCCTGGTCACCAGGGACGGGGGCCGTGGTTTATCATTCATATCATTCTTTACGCGAACTTAGGAGGAACTTTGGCAGTGAAAGCTGAAGTGCACAAGTGGCTTTGGGACTGTGCAATGCAATGCCTCGATCAAATCTGCATGGGCGCCACTTTGATCAGCAGTCGTGTTGGTGATCTCCAGGACGAGTTGCGCGAAGCAGCGCACCCGAACCTGGCAAAAGAGCCTGCGCCTGAACTTTGTAACAGTATGTGTATAGTATAATATATATATATTTATATATATATATATATTTGTACAAATATTGTATTGTAAATATTTGTAGTATGTAACTAGTCGTTGCATCTTGTAGCCTTGCTGAAACAATATGAAACAATGAGATTGCGCTGCGAGCATTTGCCATGACATGCCATGATGTTGGATCGATAAGAAGACTGCAAGTCTTCAGCCTGCAAAGTGCAAACAGATGCAAAGAATATATTTACTGCAATTGCAATATCTTACCAATCTTACCAGATACTGATACTAGTATCATGATTGTATACTTGTATGTAATAGAATGGATTAAAATGGTGTACTTCCTCAAAGATGAACAACTTCTGTTTTTCTAAGGCGTGAGGCGTTGGCTGTGGAACATGAGCGCCGTCGCCAAGAGGAGGTGAACAAAATATCCGCCAAGTTCTTCATGATTCATGAGAATTCTTGATGTATATGATGTATACTGTATATCTACACTATATTGTATATATATATTGTATTTGTATAATATTTATTGTATATCTATTATTGTATGTCTATTGTATATCTATTGTATATCTATTATATATCTATTATATATCTATTGTATATCTTGTGTCTAATGGTGTAATATTTTGATAATATGCAGTGATACATCTTGTATCTTCACAGTGTTGGGAACCATACTACTTTATATTTATTAGTGTTTTACATGTGGCATCAACTTTCACCTAAATTTCCCCAAGAAAACTGGTTGGCAGAGCTGCAGACCCGCCCTGGCACTCGCGCAGGTGGAGAGGCTACGAAGTGAGGCCGATATAGCAACTTCAATGCGGTGTGGGCATAGAATTCTGGCAACTTTCTGCAAACTTCTGCGAAGCAAAGTGTATAACAATAGAAGCAGAAGCATTTGTCTTGCGGATGAGGTGCGCGAACTGTGCCGCGTTTGAGCCTTTATAGACATCCTGTTGATGCCTTTCACTGGCTTCATCCTGGAGGCGTCAATATGGCGTTTGCTGCAGCTTGCCTTTCTCATGCTACCGCTCGCAATTTATTGGCCGGCATGGACCCAAGCTGGTGAGATGCCAAACAGCCAGAGCACAGCGAAGGATCGATTTGAAAAGCCTTTGTCCCAATTGCAATGTGAAAAAAGAACATTACCCAACAGCCAACCCAGGGTAGCGTTTCTATATGTTTCTATCCTCAGCTAAAGCTAGCTAAGCGGTGTTTGAGACTCCAGACGCACCGTTCCCGAGGTCTGGTTTATGGACCCCACAACGTTTTGGAATTGGGTATCTGTCGTGCTGGCCAGATTTCAGATTTGTCAAATGTCAAAGCCTAGCGATGCCTAGGAGTACTGTATCTGGAAGCTCTCAGTGATTTCTCTGCCAGGTACGCATTGACAGCTGTGGGCCTTGCTTCATTAAGCAGCAGCCCAAGTGGGGATTTCACCCGGCGCATGGGATCTTCAGGTTCTGACTCCGCGAAAAATGGGCCAAAGTGCTGGTTAAGTATCACCTGAAGTATCAAGATGTATCAAAATATATCAATTTATGATATTTATGAAGCTGGTTCAGTATGCAAAGCAGTTCCAAATAGAAGAGTTGATGCTTACCGGCTTACCGCAGCGTTTGAGCCAACAGGAGGCTGTTTACAGGTTCGAATTTGCACCACAGGCACAAGCGAAAATCAATGGTACAGTGGGTCATCTCAATACTCCCAGGTACTCCCATCACGAATCAGCGTTGCATTCGTCTCCAGGGCGAAGTAGGTCTGTACCCTGCCATGGATGATTTTCTGTGGACCTCCATCCGTCCCAGCCTGAGACTCGACTGTGCCAGTTCAGCATCGAATCATGCTCACTACTTGAAAGACCCACGTGGAATCCAATCCTTCAACTGGTACCTGAAAGTGTTCCAATCAGCTTTTGCTGCCCAATTTTTCCCGATAGTCTGTCCTTCTTATCTTCAGGCTATTATTACTCCAGATTCAAACTGGACTCGGACCATGTGAAGCCAGCTCCCAGCACTCCAGTGGAGGATGCCTTCGCAACAGTGCTGATACTTGCCCAAAGCTATGGGATCGGTGTATCATGTGGGGGATTGAGTACAGTGAGATTTTTTTTTCTCTAGGCCTTCATTTTTGAAGAAGCTTTTGTGCTCAAAGTCTTTGTGCCGTCCCGTTTGCTTCAAAGGGGATGCTTCAGCTGGGACGGACCAGCACAGCTCCGGATAAGGCGAAACATGGCACCAATGTGAGTAGCGGCCTGGAACATGAGAGTTTTTCAAGGCCTGATAGATATATATATATAGATAGATAGATAGATACTATAGTTTCCTATAGACAGTATAGTGTAGTATATTTATCTATACTATGCTATACTACCATATACTACCACAGTTTGCTGGCCATTGGCCTCATGCCATGTCAGTTTGCTGAGGAGCCGCCTTGGCATATTTATAGAGGAAGCCGCAACAGTGGAGGTCCCCCAGCTGGTATCCTTGAGAAATCTGCGATGGCAAAATGGGACACTGACAAAATGGGTTAACCAATGAACATGTGAATTTAGCCTTCAAATTATCATTGATCATTCATGGCAGATTCTCATGATTCAGAATCTTGGAAAGAGAAGAAGAGACCCTACAGCCCTACAGCCCTTGTTTTGACTCAGCAGGAGGAATACCGGCGCAAGTGTGTGGAGACGCTGGATGCTTTCCAACAAAAGCGACATGTGGATCCTGGATGGCAAAATGATTTGATTTTGACCAACAGAAATGGGGGCATTGTCCAAAAACAATAGGGATATAATGGGATATAATGGGAACACTCTTTCAAGAATTCAACTTACTGTAGTTCAACCTTGACATCAAGGTGTTGGGGTTGTCACTGTAGGCCGCATTGCAGGACCAGCCTCTGGCATAGACCACATCTCTTTAGATTGTTGTAGCATACTTTGGCCTAGAACACCTGGACCTATGCTTTCTCACCCTTCAAAATTGCAAGATTTTGCAAGTAGAATGGAACTGACTTTGATGGATGTAGCCGCCAAAACATGCCAACACCATTCAACACCTGTTTTTTTTTCTCGCTCGAAGATCTCTTCGCATAACGCAAGGCGTTGATGCAGCAGGCGGCAGAGACCTTTGCGGCAGCTCCTTGGAAGTGCCATTCAGTGCCATCTGATGGATGCCGCTGACTCATGACTGAGTGATTTGATCGAACGATCCATCATACATCAGATATATTCCGATACATTAAGTTACATCAGGATATATTTTGATCTTGGAATTAACAGACAAACCTACTCACTTTGATGGTTTGAAACATGTTGAGCTCTGACAGTGACTAAGTCAGAGACGGCCTCTGACTGTTGAGGTCTGTGACCTGGCCAAAGAATTATTGCCAAAGGTTCAACAGCAGGATCCGGCTTTGGCGGGATGGGTTATGCAGGTTGTGATGATGATGATGATGATGATGATGATGATGGTTGACCAAGTCGTCAGAGCTGCACAGATATTCCAATTTGTTTCAAGACCAGCCTGACAGGAGACTCTGCCGGCTGAAGTGCTGCAGAAATTGAACGCGACGATGAGCGCATCTGAGTCACGCTACTCAGGTGCCGTAGTCACGTGTCTGAAACTGGGCAGTGGGACATCCTGGGACCAGTCCCCAGATCTCAAGCTCTTGGCCCAATTGAAAAGAGATCAAGATGCGGAAGGATGAGATAGAAGGATAGTTTGAAGAGAAGGGTCTCGGTCTCTGTGGATTTATGATGCGTTAATATGCGTTATGTGGATTTGAACGTGCCTGCCCTTTTGGCTTCTCTTGAAGCAGCTACCAGATCTACCAGCTTTGAATGCCAAGTCACCGGTATCCCACGGCGACATGGCCACAAGGCAAAGTCAGATGTTCTGCCTGAGCAATTGCTGACAGCGGTGCCGGGATCAAAGCTGTACCTTGGCCCCACGGTCCACCATTGTTCAGCCATTGTTTATGGAAGAATCATTGGTGTTGATATGTGTTGATGCAGAAATTGCCCCAACATTGTCATTGGATGTCATTGGTTCATAATGATTGGTTCATGCGCCTGCTTTTTTTCGTGATTGGTTCAATCCCCAGTCAATATCCCATTCCCATTAGCCGCTTTAGCCCATTCTGTTTCCATTGTGAAATTCAGAATTTCGCATGATATGGAACAACACATCAACATATTCCCATATGTTCATGATGATGGGATATTTATTTATTCCATGATAATGTGACATTTATTGGACATGTTTTCCATCAGGGAAGCACATATTTCCTATTTCCAGGGAAAGAGAGAGAGAGAGAGAGAGTAGATACACGCGCCCGGGTTTTGCTTTGGTTTGAGGTATCCGGGCCTGCTCAAGAAGGCTGCCGCGTCCCAAAGTGTCGGATTCACCCGCCAATAGGGAACGTGAGCTATTGAAGTCAGTACGAGAGGAAAACTTCGTTCAGATACTTGGTCAATGTGGTGAGCTGAAAAGCTAATGCCACGAAGCTACCATTTGTTGGATTACGACTGAACGCCTCTAAGTCGGAATCCATGCTGGCTAAGCAGCGTTGCCCACTACCCTCATTGTGATGCGCCAATCAATAAGCTTCGGCTCCGGTGCACTCTGCCTTATTATGAATCTGGAGCGGTATCAAGTGGTGGTTTTAGATCTGATGAAAACGAGGTGAGTCCGCCTCAGAAGCAAGGTAGGCACGATTAAAGTATGTGCACACACAAGTTATACATGTCTATACATGTACAATCAATCGTGTACACATATTAGTGCATTAGTGCATATTATATTAAAATATATTAAATATTAGCATATTTCTTTATTTGTTTATTTATTTATTCATGTATGTATTGATTAATTTATGTATCTATTTGTTTAAAGGACAATTTCCTTTGGATCTCTGATTCGGATGATTGCGTGCATGGACGTTGTTTTGGGCATGGGTTGAAACCACCAACAAGACAATCAGGGACGTAGCCTGCTGGATGATTTCGTTGAAATTGATCCAAAAGACCCAAAAGTGTGCAGGTGGAAGCTATTTGCCAGCGTCAGCTAAATGACTTTGAGAACAGAGAAGTGGATGCTTTTCGCGTGGCTCGGCGTTCTGAAGTTAGACTCTACTGCCATGATTGGATCCCCATCATTCCCACCTTATCAACCCCCAAATCTCCGGAGCTTTGATGGCCAGATGTCATTGGTGTAGCTGTGAGAAACACAATTTTGCACTTGTGGCTCATGACCCGGCGAAAGAAGTGAGAAACAAACCGAACCGTGCTGCCATGATGGCCTCCGTATGTGGCGTTCGATGGCTTTGCAGCTTCCTGATGGTTGGAACTGCCATGGCATGGCAGAGACATCATGAAACAGTTCAAAGGTTGTGGAATGAACTGCAGGAAGCGGAAACAACATTGGATCTTTCGGATCCATCAAAGATCCAGAAGTATTGCGATCAGAAGCTGGATCATTTTGATCCGCAGAACCCAAAGACCTGGTGCCAGCGATTCTTGACCAATGCCACTTTCGAGAAACCTGGAGGACCAGCTTTCATTTGCATTGATGGAGAGGATTATCCCTGGCAATCGGGGAAACGTCCATACACCATGGCTTGCAACAACATGGTGCAACTTGCCAAGGAATTTGGGGCCATCATGTTAGCTGTGGAGCATCGTTACTACGGTGGCGCCGACTTTGATGGGGTCCCAGACTTCACCACCAAGAATTTGAAGTACCTTACAAGCCGCCAGGCCCTGGCTGATTTGAACCAGTTCTGGGGTTGGATTTCCACAACTTCGCTCCCAGCTGTGTCGGAGGTGGTGGTTTTTGGTGGTTCCTATCCAGGCTCCTTGTCCGCCTGGGCACGGAAGCTTTATCCCGAGAGCTTCCGCGCCTCGGTCGCCTCCAGTGCCCCGTTGTTGGCACAGGCCAACTTTGTCGGCTACAACGACGTGGTGGCCTCGGCACTTACGGCACCCTCGGTGGGTGGCTCACCCGAGTGCCTGGCCACCTACAGTAAGGGACATGCCGAACTCAAAGAAATGATGACGAGGGCAGAAGGGAGGAGACCAAGGGAGCAAAAATGAAGATATATGAAGATACACTTAAAAAATCACATTAAATTATATACGTATATTAAAATATATTCTGTATAAATTTTAAATATCTTGATTCTAGAATTTGAAGAACATCTGAGATCCTTCTAGAATTATGAATACGTATGCCATGTATGCATGGAGACATTTTCGTTGCCACCTTTCAGGAGAGCAGTAGAGAAGAAGTTTAATCTCTGCGGGTACAATCCTTTGGATGACGAAAACAATATTGCGTACTGGGCAGGTCAGGATGGAATTGTGGCAACCATCCCACAGTATAACAGTGCCACATGCGAACATACCAGCTGCAACATGAAGTTGTTCTGCGGCAACCTCTCCATCATGACCAAAAGCACGGTGAGTGCCATTGATGCCCTTCAGCTGATGCATGACTTCCAGATTCAGGAAAACGAAGCCAGAGGTCAACCAGCGCCTGCGTGCACGGATGTCAGTTACGCCAAGTATGTGGATGGCATGAAGAGTTCCTAGACTTTGCTCAACCAAACATTGTTTGTTGTTTGGTTGGTGCATGTTGATGCTTTCTTATTTGGATGATTTGGTTTTAACTGCCCGCTCCAAAATTTGTTGGTCCTGGTTTATATCGCTGCGCCATCTTTGGTCAAGAAACTTTGGTGTGTAAAAGGATGTCAACTGTATTATTACAAACGTTTTGAGCGGAAAAACTTCTAGCGTACACGCCCAATTTATTGTGCACCAATGGCTTTTGGTGCAAAAGTATTGTTATGTAACAGCAAACTCATGTAACAATTATCCGCACAAACTTTTTGTTGCAACCCCCATTTCTGTGGTACTCGTACAAAAACTGTGAGTATGTGCATGCTGCCAAAGAGTCTTATGGTTTCCATACCTTTGCTTATTTTTTTTTACGCATCTAACTGACCATGTTTTAAATATTTTTTAATACATATTGCAGAACCCCCAGAGGCTATTGGGCTGCGCATGTGATATTTATTCTATTTTGTCAAATGTTCAGAATTCGTTCCACCGAGAAGCTGAGCGACTCAGGTAAGCCGAGCTTATGTTGGACCCGTTTAGTAAATACTGTCCATTTACCATTTACAAAACACAGATATGTATTTTGTTCCGTCCTTCTTTGTTTTTTGTATCTATAATTCTATAATTATATATGATATAAACAGAAACAACCAAATCAGATCAAATCAGCACCAAATTGGTCCAAACCTGGTTCAGCATTTGAGATCGTCTAGGCTCCCAAAGAGACATCCACCCTCTGGAGCCCCCATGCCTGAGCCTTCCACCTAGGAACCGAGAAGGTCAGTGGCACAGATCCGAAAGCGGGAGATCAATTTGGGCGCCTGTGGACTTACCAAACCTGCAATGAGTTTGGATGGTATCAAACCTGCGAAACTGGCAGCAACTGTCCATACACCCAGGGCTACAATACCATCCATTGGGCCCTGGAACTGTGCAGCCTACTCTTCGATATGTCGCCAGGGGATGTCCTGCACAACATTGACGAGACCAATGAGTTCTATGGTGGAGCAGCATATCCCGGTGCCACCTACACGGTGTTTCCCAATGGCGAGGTGGGATACCCTCTGGTAAACTAACATAGCTATGGAAAATCACTATCTTTAATGGGAAAATCCACTATAAATGGTCATTTTCAATAGCTATGTTAAATTACCAGAGGGTACTTGTTGATAAAAACACCCTCAATCACTCAGAAATTGGCTGGCTGTTAGGTGGGTTGTTAAGATACTACGAAACCAGACGAATACTGCCACCATGAAAGTAAGCTCGTGAATGTATAATTATATCCTTATAGACATGAATATGTCAACACATGTTAACACTTAAAATATCTATAAAAATAAACCAACAGCATCGACCAAGATGACCAATGATGACCAAGGTGGACCCCTGGCACTGGCAGTCCACCCTGGTGGGTGAAGATCCAACGGTGGACGCGATCTTCGTGAAGGGTGCCTCGCACTGTGAGTGGATGCATGCGGTAAAGCCTGGAATGCCAGGTGGGAACCCTCCAGGAAGAACCCGGCCCTGTTTGTAATACGTCAATACGTATGAGAAACCCAGATAGTTGAGCCTTTGGTGAGGTTGCTACGGATGACTTCGGTTTTTTCAAGGGTTAAATGTGAAGTGGCCGTATGAGCGGCCCCGGACCGTGCCAGGGATGTTGATTGAAGCCAAGAAAGCCATCCAGAACAAGATCGCCTCCTGGTTGCCCATGGCAGAACCGGGCAAGCACACAAAGCCTGAGGCAACCAAGGATCCCGAGCCAGCCAAGGACGCCAAGGACGCCAAGGACGCCAAGGACGCCAAGGACGCCAAGGACGCCAAGGAGAAACCAAAGGATGCAAAGGCAGCCAAGCCCAAAGAGAACAAGTTGAGCAAATTTCTCTTGGCCACGGAATCGGAGATAACCTCACATTTGCAGGTGAGAACGGAGCTCTAAAGTCGGGCTCCAAGGCCAATGAGCCTTGCTGAATTCTGCGTTTCCAGTTCTACTCAAATGAGATTGGAACTTTTGCTTTGGACAATTTTATACTCACCCTTGCTTCTGAATGTGGTTTGGACAATTTTGGACATATTTGGAGGTGCGTGGACCGTGCGTGTTTGCGAGCACTCAACCGTATCTGACCCCCTTGTGCCAGTGGGCCATTGGGCTGAGGCATGGCTTCAAAAAGGGGCCAATGACGTGAACTTTGATGTGCAGATTAAGCAACATTTGGACCAGAAGTCTAGCAGCTCGGTGCCAGCATGGACCAAGTCAGCCTCCGTTCTGAGCCTGTTTCTTTAGGGGCCGCACTGAAAAGGCAATGTACCACGGGGAGTCATCTCCGGTCCCCCTGCAATTCTTGAGGCAAAGCCAAGGAGTTGTCCAAGGTTCACCAAGAGTGCCTGGTGCAATCTGATCATCTTCCCGTCCTGGAAAGAGTTCAGCTAGGTGCAGATGAACCATTTACCATAGTTATGTTACCAGAGGGTAACCATGGGTAACCCAACAATGGATGATTGGAGACTAGTCATGTCACGTCATGTCATGTCCAGTGTCGAAGTATAGACTGTTATAGACTGTTGCTTCCCCCAACGATGATGCAGGTGAGCTTTCCGAAACTGTGAACGTCTTGGTGTGGAACACACTCGAGTTTCCATCGTTGAAGACCGAGACTTTGGTCGTGGATGGGCATCTTGGCTCAAGGCTGGCAGCTCCGGCATCGCAGTCCGCCCCGTCCATGTCAAACCTCAGGATCTCACCGTACTGTTCGGAGATTGGACATGTCTTAAATCGCTGCTCGGCCGTCGTGGGTGATTCATTTTCCGACTCTCAAAACAGACATGTGAAAGTGGACATGCTCTCTGTGTTGCTAAGGCAACAATGCAGAGGACAGAGAATGCCAAATGCTTTCTACTTTGGCGTTACCTTTCACCTAATTACGTTGGAGGGCTATTTTTTTATATGTTTTTTTGCGGCAGATTTTGAATCTTTTTTTTTTGTGTTCCTGGTTCTATGCTTTCCTGCTTTTCTGCTGTTCTGCTTCTCTGCTTTTCTGCTTCTTTGCTTCTCTGCTTCTCTGCTTTTCTGCTTTTCTGCTTCTCTGCTTTTCTGCTTTTTGCTTTTCCTGCTTTTTCCTTTTCCTGCTTTTTCCTTTTCTGCTTTCCTGCTTTTTCCTTTTCCTGCTTTTTTTTCTGCTTTTTGCTTTTCCTGCTTTTTCCTTTTCCGGCTTTTTCCTTTTCCTGCTTCTCTGCTTTTCATGCTTCTGTGCTTCTCTGCTTTATCTGCTTCTTTTCTTTTCTGCTTCTCTGCTTTCCCTGCTTCTGCTTTTCTGCTTTTGTGCTTCTGTGCCTTTCTACTTCTACTAGTCTACTTTTTCTTTTTTTAGTCATGTGTTTTTGCTGCTCTACTTCCTGCTGCTCTGCTTCTCTGCTGCTTCCTGTCTTTACTGCCTCTTTGTTTTTTCCCCAACAGCGTAAGCTAATGGGGTCTTCAGCCCAGAATAGCTCCGGTGTGCACTGGTGCAGGCGCCGGGTTAGGTTCAACGAGGTTCCGGAGAAGGTTCCGAAGGTTCCAGAGAAGGTCTGGGAGGCTTTGGTGCAGAGCCAGGTCACCTGGAGGCTTTGGTGCAGAGCCGGGTCAGGTTCAATAGGGTTCCGGAGAAGGTTCCCGGAGGCTTTGGCGCAGAGCAGGTCAGCTTCAACAAAGTTCCGGAGAAGGTTCCGGAGAAGAAGGTTCCGGAGAAGGTGTGGGAGGCTTTGGTGCAGGGCCCGTCAAGTTCAACAGGGTGCCGGAGAAGGAGCCAGGTCAGGTTCAACACTGTTCCGAAGAAGGTTCCGGAGAAGGTGTGGGAGGCTTTGGTGCAGGTTAGGTTCAACAGGGTTCCGGAGAAGGTTCCGGACAAGGTTCTGGGGAGGCTTGGGTGCAGAGCCTGGTCAGGTTCAACAGGGTTCCGGAGAAGGTTCCGGAGAAGGTCTGGGAGGCTTTGGTGCAGAGCCAGGTCAGGTTTAACAGGATTTGCGGCCATTTAAATCACGGAAACTTAGCTGAGGCGTTTCCAGCGCTTGGCTTCGCAGCACGCTTCAGAAAGATTTGTAAGAATAAAACGTTGCGGCTGTTGGGGATACCACCGAAGCTTATTTTCTTTTCTTTTGCTTTATTCTCCCCTGTTTGTATCCCAAATGAAACCTCAAAGACCCTAGGTGAAAGCCAAAGAAACCCTAAAGAAATCCTGATAAGAAACCCCTACATGAAACACTAAATGAGCCTGAAAGAAACCATAAATATCATAAATGAACTCTAAAGAAACAATAAATGAAACCCTAAAGACACTCTGAATGAAACCCTAAATGGCAAAATGTCATCCTAAAGAAACCCTAATCGACACTCAAAAAAACCCTGAATGAAACCCTAACTGAAACCAAAAATGAAACCCTGAAGAACCCGTAAACGTAACTCTAAATGAAACCCATTGAAACCCTAAATGAAATCCTAATGAAACCCTTAATGAAACCCTTTATGAAACCCTAAATGAAACCCTAAATGAAACCTTAAAGAAACCCTAAATGAAACCCTACAGAAACCCTAAATGAAACCTTAAATGAAAACCTCAAAAACCCCCAAAGAAACCCTAAATGAAACCCTAAAGAAACCCTAAATTAAACCATAAATGAAACCCTAAAGGATCCCTAAATCAAACGCTACATGAAACCCTAAATGAAACCCTAAATGAAATCCTAATGAAACCCTAAATGAAACCCTACAGAAACCCTAGATGAAACCCTAAATGAAACCTTAAATGAAACCCTAAATGAAACCCTACAGAAACCCTAAATGAAACCTTAAATGAAACCCTCAAGAACCCCCAAAGAAACCCACATGAACGTTTGGAAATCCTGATACGAAATCCTGACAAGAAACCCTTAAATGAAACCCTAATTGAAACCCTAAAGAAACCCTACATGAAAAGAAGCCGCAAAGAAACCCACATGAACGTTTGGAAATCCTGATTAGAAATCCTGATAAGAAACGCTTAAATAATGAAACCCTAAATGAAACCCTAAATGAAACTCTAAAGAAACCCTAAACCTAAAGAAACCTTAAATGAAACCCTAAAGACACCCTACATCTGAAACCCCAAATGACACCCTAAATGAAATCCCAATGAAACCCTAAATGAAACCCTAAATGAAACCCTAAATGAAAGCCTAAATGAAAGCCTAAATGAAAGCCTAAATGAAAGCCTAAATGAAAGCCTAAAAAAACTCTCAAGAAATCCACATGAATGTGTGAAGTACCAACGTATAGCAAATACCATGCAAATGAGAGGTTGAAGTGCCAAGGCGACCATGGCCAAATGTAGCAAATGCCATGCAAAATGCAAAGTAACCATGCCAAACATGTAGCAAATACCATGCAAAAAATTCTAGTTCCAAACTGTTGCAAATACAAGGCAAATGGTACCAGGAAAGAAAGCCAAAAAAAAATCCAAAACCTGAGCCAAAAAAAACAAAAACTATTCTGAACCCTTTTACATTTGTGCACTTTGTTCTGTGCCATGTATTGTTTTAGTATGTTTTCGTAACCAAAAAGTCAGATGGCACAAGCACCACAGGAAAGAGCACTCCTGCTAGAGGCAATGAGCTCTGAACCCGTCACGCCGACGCAATATGATGATATGATGCACCCCAGTTGTTTCCATATTCTTTCAATTCTGCCTGATTGGCCATGTGTAGATTGACGCAGCTTGCAGATGTCCAAATCTGACTCCCTTCTTTGATTCCGGTGTGCTGTTCTGAGGTCATCCTGGGCCATACTATGCACGTTTGGTCGAAGATATGCGACGCTCTGTCCGCGGACTCTTCCGCCGTCGTGTTGCTGCAGGAATTGAACCATGACGTGGCGAACAAGGCTCGGAGACTGCGAGAGACTGCACTGAGATGGTCAAGGCATGTAAAGGCGGTGATAATGTGGCAAACCCAACAGATAATTGCACATATATTTATAATTACAGTAATTACCAATAATGAACCAACCAAGCCTCCCAGCTCGCACCCTCAATGACTTGCCATGGATCATCAAATCATCCCTGAGCTGGGCGCCTGGGCTCACAGGTGAAAGATGAATGCTCCAAGATGCTTGACACAGTTTTGTGGGGTACAGATGTTCACAGTGAGGTAATGGACTACCATGTTGTTATCATGGAAAATTCTCGACGTGTTGTGCTGGAAATGAACAGTGACGTCTCAGTGCGAAATTTGCTGCCGCAAGCCAGTGCATATAGGATTTTAACTTTAACGCGTGGTTTCCTGGGATAGTCTTCAACTTATTCTATGTTTCTTATGAATGCATAAGATCCCACAAACAAGTATTCACATCTGTTTTAATGATTGGAAGTGTCTTGAATTTCCAATTATCATGCCATTTGCCCGGCGTGATTTCCTAGGCAATCGTGGACTGCTCTGTTCTCTCATGCCAATCAGGACAGTCAGAGCCTCATTTTTGCAGAGCCGTGGAATATTGGTGGACTCTTGGCCCTTTTCGCCCCGTAGAAGAATCCTCTCAGATCCAAACGGCGACGGTCAGAAGTTCTCGAGTTATCTGGAGTTATCTGGTCAAACATGGTGAAACAGTCTCAGGACTTTGACTTCTCAGGGGGATTTAGCATATTTAGATATATTTAGATATATTTAGCTTCAAAGCTGAGGTAGCAAATGCAATGCCATCACTGCTATCGTGTCTCAGCAAGCCTTCGAAGAGACGACCCAGGCAGATTCAGGAACAGTCCAAGATGACAGGAGATTTCACTGGAATTCTGTAACCTCAGTTGAAGGGGGTATATACTATATTATACTATTACTGGTTGGTGGTTTCAAACATTTTTTATTTTCTGTAATATATGATTAATATATGGGATAATCCTTCCCATTGACTTTCATATTTTTCAAGATGGTTGAAACCACCAACCAGATTAGTATACTGGCAATTGGAGCAGTATGGTAGCTATACTAATAGAAGACATAGACTTGGAATTTGTCGACATGACATGATATGGTTACAACATCCATGGTCCATTGCGGCCGCTCAAAAGGCACCCCAAAAAACAGGTGGAGATCGTTGAGAACAAGAAGACTCGCCTCTTGGAAGCAGCAAAATCAGCAAAGCAACTGTTTTGGGATCCAATTCAAGATGCGCCTTCGATGTCCTTCTATGCTTCTCTACAATGTTCATTTACACGGACCTGGACTGGACTTGAGAGAGCCTTTTTGCCTTCAGATGTTCTTTTCAGCAGGCGCAGTCTCTGTGAGGGTCACGCAGTGAGACCAGTTGAATCTAGACGCCTTGGCAAAGGATTCTTCATTGCGGCTCGACGAAAAGAAACGTGGTTTGTGTCGGGGCCTCACTTCTCGTTCGCTGTCGCTGACACCAACTAAATTCCATTAAATTCCTCTAATGATAAATAGATATAAATAGGTTGAATCAGATATGTATTCATTATACATATTATATTATGGGATCCGCTCTAAAATGCCTATAAAGAACTTTTAAATCCGAGGACCAAAAATATTTGGGCAGTGATGTATTTTAGATTTCATTACAAGGCGGAGTTCTGTATATATGCAGTGAAATTGCTTTCCTGCGAGTTGGCGCTAGATTTGCGTTAGTGTGGCGCTAGATATACTTTTACATAGCCACTCAATTCAAACATACCAGGCCCATGCTTTATTTCCCTGTTACTTTCTTGCAGATTCTTGCACCTGTTGTTTCCGGTCCTGCTTGGGCAACTCCCCCGTAGCCTTACTTTTCATAAATCTCTTTGAGCTGCATTACCGCTTCACCTTCTTTTTGTTCAGTATCACAAACGTGACTCGTAAAGATACGTGAAAACAATTGCTTTTCAAGTTTTAATGGCTAGGCTAAACGTAGTTCTGGCGGTAGATCCGCGCTAGATATTTAATTGCCCCAAAAAATACGCGGTTGCCCGTTGGTCAACTCACCGTACTTGAAAACGCAAGAGCGCTGCAGCAGCTGGGATGTGGGCCCTGGAGCCTGCGTTGTTAGACCAAACAAAGGAAGCATGCAGGGTGTGATAATTAGTGTTTCCAGTAGCTCCAGCAGCTCGAGCTAAAAGAGCCGCGCGCTAGCTATGTTCGCAAGAGTTTGATGCAACCATTCACAACTTTCTTCACTCATGTTTAAGGTCTGTTGGGACAATTGAACTTTAGAGGCGGAGTTCTGTAAATACGCAGTGAATGTGATTTTCATCCGAATCCGGGAAAAGGAACTTAAAAAAGATTAATTACTTTACTTCGTGTGATCCCCACCATGACATTTATACATTTTCTTACTGGCAAATCTTCTGGCATTCTATCTGACATATCTTCTGACATTCTATTTGGCATTCTATCTGACATATCTTCTGGCATATCTTCTGGCATTCTATCTGACATATCTTCTGGCATTCTATCTGACATATCTTCTGGCATTCTATCTGGCATTCTATCTCGCATATCTTCTGGCATATATTCTATCTGACACACCCCATATTTCTTTTTTCTTTTGTGTTTTTGTTTCTTTTTTTTTTGTGGTTTATTTTTTCTGGCCATTCTACTTTTTTTTCTGTTTGTGTGGCATATCTTCTGGCATTCTATCTGACATATCTTCTGGCATTCTATCTGGCATTCTATCTCGCATATCTTCTGGCATATATTCTGACATATCTTATGGCATTCTATCTGGCATTCTATCTGGCATATCTTCTGGCATATCTTCGGGCATATCTTCTGGCATATCTATCTGGCATATCTTCTGGCATATTTTCTGGCATTCTATCTGGCAAATCTTCTGGATAGCTTCTGGATATCTTCTGACATTCTTATTGACATCTTTGCTAAATTCTTCGCACATTCTTTGTCCCATATCTCCTGACAGGAGGTCCGGCAGGGAACACTGGGCGTGGATGGTCGTGGTTGAGGTCCGGCAGGGAACACTGGGCGAGGATGGTCGTGGTTGAGGTCCGGCAGGGAACACTGGGCGTGGATGGTCGTGGTTGAGGTCCGGCAGGGAACACTTGGCGTGGATGGTCGCGGTTGAGGTCCGGCAGGGAACACTGGGCGTGGGTGGTCGTGGTTGAGGTCCGGCAGAGAACACTGTGGATCGCGGGTCGCAGTTGAGCAAGGACGACGAGGACGACGAGGACGACGAGGACGACGAGGAGGAGGAGAGGAGGACGAGGCAGGAGGAGGCGGAGGAGGAGAAGGAGGAGGAGGCAACTGACATAAAACCTAACAACCCTCACCTGGCAGGTGGGGAATATATCATTTTAGCTCAAATTAGATCAGCATCATTCACCCTTTGGCTCTTGGCAGTTGTTGTGCTCAACAAAACACTCGCAGAGGTCCTGTCACGTTCCCTTGGTGACTGGCAAGAAGCTGCCTGTGGGAATCAACGAGGATGTGGCCACCAAAGTCCTGGAACAGTTGGTGGGTGAGCTGTTGAGCGAAGGCCACAGCAAAATATGCAGCAAAATGCAGCCCTTCAGAAGATATCTTGGAATGAAAAAAATTATAAGGATGTTTGACTCCTTGACTGCAGCTGATGATTCCAAGAGTTGGATGTTGAATGGATTCATCAGATCCTGAACCCCCATGTCATGATGACAAGGATCTTTCATGTCGGAATATGTCGGAGGATTTTGATGTGAACACCTCATCAAGGGATCCAGCAAACTGTCGCTGTGGCAGGGAAGATCCTGATTGCTGGTGGCGATTGGAATGGCAATGTGCACGAGGTCACTTGATGGGATCTCAAATAAAGCCGTTGCCAAGGTAAGGAACGTGGAGATACGTGGAGATTGCCCTTTTTGTAACCACCCAAAAGATAGAACCGTAGTTTATTTACATTTATTTAAATTAGTTCACCACTATTTTTGTGTTGCAGCAAAGGTGTTGATGACTTCTGGATACTTCTAGGGCTCTTGGATGTTGCACACCTTGAAAGCTGACGCAGGTCGTGAGAAGACGACCAGCAAATCGGTGACCTGACGGCAACGATGTGATCCATGTTTTTTAGAAAGATGAAAACATGACAAAAAACATGGAAAACACATGAAGAAAATGACATTGACACATGGCTGAACAACTATCAGCAGATGAACCGAGATTTGTTCGACTGGCATTTCTTCGTTTTTTGCTTTGGGAACCAAACCAACCCCCCAAATTCAACAAGCACTGGGACAGTCATTTGCCACACTTTCGTGATCTGACAGCTCTGAGGCAAATACGTTGCAGCCTGAGGAACACATTGGTTGTACATGATTGTACTAAGCGTTATTTTCTAGAATCACTCATTTGGATTCATTTGGAGGTTTCCATAAATGCGAGTACCCCCACAATAGTTGGTTATGTTGGTTTATAATGGAAAATCCTATTAACATATATAGATGATTTAGGGGTACCACCATTTTAGGACACCTCCAATTACCCACAATTACCCAGTGAAAACCAAAACTGATAACTGATATGCACCTGTGTGAGAATCAACGACCCTCTAGACAGAAAAGCAGAAGCGAGTCGTGCTCAGTGTAGAAGAACTCCACCTTTTTATCCACAGCTTTTGGCCGCATTCAGCTCCAGCACTGAGGTCTGCACGCGCCCATCGGACGAACAAGCTTTGGCAATCAGCACACAATCGATGGTATTTTTTGCCTCTGGTAGTTGCAGGTTGCAGGTTTGGTGGGAGAACAGACTGCCGACCCAAAAAGGTGCTGTCTCTTTGCGCAGTGGGAATTGTATGGAATTGTGGCTTCCATACGTAAGGGATAATTTTTGCAGGACCGGACTCCGAATAAAGCAAGACTTGATGATGCAAGCTGCAGACGATGGTCTTGAACAAAGAAGGAGTGGAAGATGTGGAAGTGGAAGTGAAGTTGCTTCTCCATATCTCTAGAAACCTAGGGTTGTGAAGGTAAGGTCTTCGAAGTTGCATGAAAAGAAAAGAGCATTTGCATCGGTAGCATTTGGGTATGAGGTCAAAACTGGATACCCGCGAGAGTGGCCACCCTAAGGCTGGCACAGTGGGCAGCCACGCGGCGTGATTTGCAGGGAGCCTTGGGATCCTTGGGGAGGGTTATGGAAGGTTTCAGAACTTGAAGTAATGGTTATTGATTCGAAATGATTAGAGCCCAAAATTTGCTGAACTCTCCAATGGCCAGTTCTTAGATCAATTGGCTGTGAGTCATACGAATGCTTGGAAGACGCCGGGTGTTGGTTTGTCCCAGCCAAGCATAGAGTTTGGGACAGAGCATTTTTTATCCCAAGATGAGCTTACCAACAGCGGGGTGAGGGATTTTCCACCGCCAGAGATTGGGACTGACATGGACTGACTCTGTTTGCGCATCTCTCAGGTTTCCTGACCAGGTGTGTGCAGCCTTAGGCCGCCTCTGCCTCAGGCATAGGCTGTTCATCTGACATCAGCATGGAATAACAATCTCTTCAGATGGCTTGAGTTCAAGGAATAGATACATAATGACACACAAGCAACAGGTCGGATGTTGGAAGTCTGCTGCACTTCCTTTTCTGAGGCATGCACGAATCGGTGAGTGCACCATGGCCAGAAGCCTCAGATGCCTTAGATTTGAGAATGTCGGTGGAATCGCGATCAATGCTGAATTGATGAACATTGATGAACATTGATGAACCAGGGGATCAAGGGGCAAGTCATGACCATGACGCCATGGAGGTCAAAGACAATCGAGCCCACGGAGGTGCCATTAAAATTCGGTCCCAATCGGGTGACCAATAGGTGGCTGCCAGGCTGCCAGGTTAGCCATCGTTTCCCCTCTGGAACTATCTGGAACTGAACAAGGTGTGTAGCTCCCTGCGAGACGCGGAGATGGATATGGAGTCTTTAGAATCGAGGTGGGGCCAAACCGCCACACAGTGATGTTGTGCCAGCTCAGATTCCCGCAGGCCATACGCGAGTGGCAGCATGGCAGAGGCTCCAGAGCATGTTGTCCATTATGATAGTCGACATGCACATTGATGGCTAGGTGTTTGTTTACTTAATATCCTTAATGTTTATAATAGTACTCGTAACAATGATAATAGTAGTATACTATAAGGACAATGTGGTGATAACATGCAACCTGCAGATCGATGTTTGTTTCAGAATCGTCAGTCACATTTTCCCTGCAGGTGTACTTTGGCAGATTGCGAGACGGCACAGAAGTGGCTGTGAAGTGCATGAGGTGAGCTGTTTTTGAACAACAAATTGGGTTTTGGTCAGAGAGGTGGATATCATTTTGGAACCCTTAACCATCTTAAGCTACGGCATTGCTAAAATCATCGTTTTGACGTCTTTTTCCCCACAACTTTGTGTGGGGTTCTTGTTTTTGATTCTGTATCCCGGGTCTGCTCCGCCTCCTCCCGCCTCCCGCCTCTTCACATACAATAACTTAACATACAATAATTTCACATACAATAACTTCACACACCTTCACACACACAAACTTAACATACAATAACTTCACACACACAAACTTAACACACACACAAACTTAACATACAATAATTTCACATACAATAACTTCACACACAAACTTCACACACACAAACTTAACATACACTAACTTCACACACACACACAAAAACACACACCACACACAAACTTAACATACAATAATTTCACATACAATAACTTCACACACACAAACTTCACACACACAAACTTAACATACAATAACTTCACACACACACACAAACTTAACATACAATAACTTCTGTGTGGCCTGCGTGTAACATACAATAACTTCACACACACACAAACTTAACATACAATAACTTCTGTGTGGCCTGCGTGTAACATACAATAACTTCACACACACACACACACAAAAACACACACCACACACAAACTTAACATACAATAATGTCACATACGATAACTTCACACACACAAACTTCACACACACACAAACTTAACATACAATAACTTCACACACACACAAACTTAACATACAATAACTTCTGTGTGGCAGGCGTGGCACTTGGTGACATCCACCTTGATTTCACGTGGCAGGCGTGGCACAATCTCACATCCACGGTCGTTTTGCGTGGCAGGCGTGGCACTTGGTGACATCTACCTTGATATCACGCGGCAGGCGTGGCACAATCGCACATCCACGGTCGTTTTGCGTGGCAGGCGTGGCACTCATGGCACTGGGTGGCGCCCTTGGGCCCGGTTTAGGCGCCCGTGACGCCCGTGACGCCGCGCCACTTCTGTGTGGCAGGCGTGGCATTTGGTGACATCCACCTTGATTTCACGTGGTATGTGCTCGGGAGCAGTCTATGTCCTCGGGAGCCAGAGCTTTGACCCAATGTGGGAAGAAGCGCGTGCAGATGCCTGGCGAAGCGACACCTATGGTTGCTTGACATCTTTGAAGAAACCTGCGCAGTTAGCGTCGTAACCATGGTGCTTGCCACTGTGACTGTATCGTGCCTTGACAGGCATGCGCTCTGTACTTGTCCTCCATAGTTGCATTGACAACCAGCTACATTCGTGTTCTACACTTCTGCGGCCAGGTACCGTTCCTCTATGTCATCATCGTCAACTTCATCTTTGACACGCAGCATCTTTCACACGCACCTTTGTCACACGCATACAACTACATACATACACATCCACCCTCATACATATATACCCTCATACATATGCACCCTCATACATACATACATACATACACACATACATACATACATACACACATACACACATACATACATACATACATACCTACCATTTTACCTTCTCGATCTTTCACCACCTCCTTTGTCTTTCCTTCCTTCCCTGTCCCCGCTAAAACCATTGAAACTAATTTTAGGAAGAAGTTGACTTGTGGGGTTATCCGGTCCTTTAATTTTTGGGGGAAAACTGTGAGGCCAGGCGTGAAGCACTTGCTGGAAGCTGACCTGGCTTGGCTCTTGCGTTTGGAATCCCAAAGTTGCTGGGGACTTCGGTCGAACTTGGGGATCCAATTAAGCCATGGATTTGCCAAATTTGGGCGTTTGCATTTTCAGTATTAGTTAATGATCAATTTGCATTAGTCAACCATTCAATTTGAAGGTAATCATCGATTTTCAGCCAAAGTCACTTTGAAGCAATGCAGATGCAGCGGGCTTTATACATCGATGTTTTTGTCATCTGGACCTTGCACAGCTTGGACTGTACTACATCACGTTGCGCTTTCTGACAGTATCAAGCAGAACACATTACCAGGTGCTATATAGAAACGATCAACATGGATCAGATCCGCTTGATGTCGTTCAAGCTTGCCTCCAACAAACCATTGAAATCCAGACATCTTGGTTCTCCGTCCCATAGTTTTTTTGAATTATTTATCGTAATTTTACAATATTTTACATAATTTCATGTAAATATATGTTAAATAATGATATTAATATGATGATATGGTTGTAATATGTTATATGCATACATATAGATCATTTGTCTCCCAGTCGCTGGTAGAGGCCTTAGCAGCTGGGCCGACTCTATGGCTCCTTTGCGACTGTGACTCGGCCGATGTTTACCCATGTTTTTGTAATGAGGTACATACTGTGGAAAGAAATCCTGCACCAGTTGGTAGATGATTGATCCCATTTGTGTTTAGCCGTATAGTATATTACATAAGTGTTTTGGGTAGTCCTTGTTCTTCCTAAGTCTTCAATATGCGTTTGGTATACATGATGTAGGAATTAGCTAGAATCTAGAAATTGTTATACTGGTTGATTACCAGGGTTGGTTGTCGTGGGAAACTCTAATCCAACAAGTCCAAGCATCATGAAGCTCGACAAATCTTGTTTTCTGTTTGTCCACCATTTTCCACTCTTTGTTTTCCCAATGTTTTTCCATGTTTTTTCTAATTTGTTTCCCATGTTTTTAAGACCCCTTGGCTCCTGGATGTTGCGGCTGACTGGCTCCAGGCTTCACTTGGGCAAGGCAGTGGAAGAGTTCTGCGAGCACGTCCAGATGCAGACGGTGAGCCCTGCCGCATTAGAACATTATGTCTTAGGATTGTTAGAATGTCCTACGCAATTGTAAGTCTAATGATATATATATATATAAGAATCTATACAATTCCATACAGACATTGGTGCATTGCGTTGAAGGTTGTCATGTTTGTTCTTAGTCAGATGTGAACGTGTTTGTGTAGAATTGTGTATTGCTTACCTGTGAAAGTGCTTGGTGCTGGTCGTGGTCAATTGGCAACTTGGCAACTTGACATCAACTGGGTGCAGGATTTCCGAACAGAGGCCTCGCATTTGCTCCGAACCCAGACGATTTGAAGGTGAAAGAGCATGAGATTGGATGATGCCCAGCATTTGGAGCAATTTTAATGCAGTTTTCAGTATTCCAACAAAAAGCACGATTCTACCATTGCATCTCCAATTGCTGAGATGGAACAGTTTGAGATCAACACGCGCTGCCCAGGGAGCAGTTTCAGTGCAACTTCAAGGAGCTGGCGTCAGTTTCTAAATTGCCTAGCAGCAATTCAAGGCATCATGTGACTGTATTGTACTCGCATCCCGCAAGATTTTCATCGGCGGCCCAGGTTCATTCGCTTCCCCTCTCCTTTGTACGCTTCGCCAAAGCCTAACTTTGTTCCTCATGTGCAGTGTCAGTGAGGCTTCGCAAGGCATTTCTTGCCCCCTCATTGCAGCCCCCACTGAATAATGTCAACCCTGGATTATCACTACTTGGAGGGTACCCCCCACAATTAATAAACCATGTTTTTCAAGGCAAGAACTGCTGGTACTCTCGCGTGAAATGGGCAAGGAGTTGGCTGCTAAGCAGGGGAACCGCTGCCAGCTGTGCAATGAGAGTGATTGTGGCAACCAACTAAACGGAAATATACGAAACAAGGAACCAACATTAAATCCGTCAAACCAGCTAGGAATAGCATTCCGGGACCACTAATTACCAGAATAAGTAGTAAAGTGCTATGCATTCAGCTCCCAAACTCAGTGAAGCTTGATCAATGCTAACCAGACACAGGGAAGATCCAGTTTAAGTGCTTGGAACATCATTGGGAGCCACTGGCAACTGCTGCGAGGCTCTCTCGAGTCTTTCGAGATGCGGTGGCGTTCGTGGTTGGCTTAGTCCTTCAGCTAGGACCAATGGATAGCAGTGGCAAAGGTATGCAATACCCTTGCAACGCTTGAAATATTGGGAATGTGAAATGTGTCATAATTTATAATCATGTGATTCATGTGTAATTATTGATGTTATTGACTGTTATTGCATTGCAACTCTGCTCCGTGCCTTCAAAATCCTTCAAATCTTGATTCGCAGTCCTTGGCTGTAGACATATCCGAGGGCCAGCAGAGCGTAGATCAGTCCAGCAGCTTGCAACAGCATGCAGTATGCTCGCCATGTTTGACGTTTGCCGATGTCATGCCGATGTCAATAGCACTTCAAAGTCGTTTTCACAAGCGTCAACGGCCAGGAAGACATCAGAAGTATCCTTGGAGTTCCTCAGGACGGCAAGTGAATCGAAGGTTTGCCTCAGAATTCATGAGCCATTGACAAAAACCGTTGTTTTATGATGTTTTTATGTTGTTTTGGGGATGAGGTGGACTAATGACGTCTACTGGCCACCTTCATGTCCTTAAGACATTCCTTGACCCCGTAGCATATCGAGTAAACAGTGCTGCCTTTAGGAAGTGAGCCAACGAATTGCCAATGATAGTGCGCAGCTCAGATATAGCCTGATATAGTTCACGAACCCTTTCATAAAGTAACACTGCTAGGGAAGGAGCTAAGAATCAGCTCATTATGAAGATTTCACAAATCATGAATGATATGAATGCGTCTCCAGTCTTCAAAAAAAAGCCCTCTTCAACTCAACTCAGGCCTCTCTGCTTACATGCGCATGATCTTCAAGGATCAATTTATCCACGGAGACCTTCATCCCGGCAATGTCATGGTGAAGTCGCTTGATCTCAAGTTGGCCATGGCTCGTTCCCGGTAAATCCAGGGAATGATCATATCAACCTCCAACTAAAGGATGGTTTGAACTTTTAAACAGTTTACATTATAGACATAATATACCATCCGTTTCTGGAAACTGTCTGGACAACTGAGGATGCTTGTTCTGATTGGGTCTACCACATCCATTTTGATCTCAGGCTTGAAGAGGGTTCCAGCCCCGATGTCGAGGAGTCTTGGAACGTTTCAGCAGATTCGCGCGATTGTTTTTGGTGGTTTCATGTTGAAGAATCATCCTGATATACATTAATATATTGTATACATATATGTATCCCGATATAGTTATGATATATATAATTATGATATACAATTGTAATAACATATGTACATATCATATATCATATATATCAATAATTAGGACACTTTTGATAATTAGTGTTTCTGCTTTTTTTAGTCCGTGCTCCACCCATTGACCAATCTGCAGGAGGCTACAACTACAGAGAGCACCTCTCGTCTGGCGATTTGCCAAAGATGCGCATTTTTTTTGCGCCTTTTAGATGGTTGGATTGTTGACTATATATATACACATACATGTATTGTATATGATATACTTATATATATATGATCTATGTACCGGTCTCAAAACACAATAAACCATTTGGGAACTCTATTCAGCTTTGGTCAATATGTCTGGAGATGCACCACCAAGATGCATTGGCACCAGACCACCAATTGCAACAGGTGCGACAGATCACATGGTGGATCAAATCCTGTACAATCCTTGCAAGGGGGATGCTTCCCAAAATTCACACCTTATCCCAAGCTGACTATCGACTAAGGACAGGCTAACCAAACGTTTGAGGAGCGCAGCTCGCGAAAGCCTCAGGGTCGGCACTGCAGAGATGTGTTGCAACAAGCAGCCCCAAATCGCTAACTGGACAGCGGATCAAGGATCGTACAGTCCACCCTTTCAGCTCATCATCTTGGATGCAGGCCGGAGCTGATTTGGATTGTTGCCGACCTGCATAAATCCACCATGGTGGCTTCTGGAAAACCAATAGGTTGGGCTATCTGCCCCAATTTCGGAAGCACCCCTCTGTTCATCTGCATTCTGTTTTCCTCGCGTAATCAGTTCTGTGACACCTAGTTTTCCACCAATGGTTATGCGACGTTCGGCTGCTCGGGTTGGATAATCCATGCTGATTCCATGCAACTAACCCCACTTTTGCCCTTGGCAGCCGTGAATCACTCTGCAGGTCTTGCCATTCCGCTGCCTCGGGACAAGGTGGAGGCAGCAATCTCCCAGGGTACCCCAATAGCTGGATGGTTTACAGTGGAAAACCATGGAAGATCTACTGTATCTATTTTTTTTGGGGGGGTACCCCCATAGATTGGAACCCCTGCTATGGAGGTTTTCAGAAGTCATGGGGACCCCCTCAAATCATCCAAGTCATCAGACCGTTTTAGTATTGAGACCCCATGGTTTTTCGGGATTCCACATTTTGAGAAACCTCGATATGTTACAGAAGGGCTTTTCTTGCTAATTAATTGCTTAGCAGAATGTTCTGGCACCTAGACTCTGCAAGTATCTGCAACTCAAATCAATACAGCCAGATCGTAGCACCGGGACTACTTTGCCTTTCGGATTTGCACGAGGCCTTGCGATCTTTGGCTCTTGCGATTATCTATGGAGACTTCTATAGAGTTTCTCACTCAGAGTGCCATGTTTTTTACTTCACCGTGAAGTATGTGATTTTTCACGTGACATGAGCCATACCCTCTGGTAATTTAACATAGCTATTGAAAATGGCCATTTATAGTGGATTTACCCATGAATGATTTGAATGTTGAGTTCCTTATTGAGACCTTAAAAAAGCGCGGCTGGCAGGGGATTCAGGGGATTCAGGAGGACTTTTTGTGCAGGAAAACACCGTGGAAAAAACGCTGAGGCAGCCGACATCCTGTACCAACAAAGCCCTGACACGTCACAATGCCAGGAGCCAGCTAGAGACAAATCGGTGCCCTCTTTTTCGATGCTTAAAATGATCGGATTCATTCCAACTTTGGCAACTTTGGCAAGGCACACTGCTTGGATCACTGCAAAGACCAGCAAAATGTATCAAAATGCTGCTTTCCCACAAACTTGCCAGGGAGCTCGTTGGAAGATGGTCAAATTTCCGAAAATCATTGTGCTGTTTCCAGTGGTTGGATCCCCAAAGCCTAAAGGCCAAAAGCTGGTTTCTTCAGAAAACGACCATTTTTCAACAGGATCCACAAGGCTTCAAAAATGGCCTGGCGAAGGCCTTCAGAGATTGCAGGACATGTTTTGGATGTTTTGGATGCTGATGTTGGGAAGGGATGGGTATCGTACCGAGGCATGGCACGGTTAGCCGGTTAGCCCATGTTAGCGTGGTCAATACGTCAATACTTCCAGATCACGCATTGCAAGATGATTTCGACCTATTTTTAATCGTCATATAGTCAAAGAAAAGTGCTTGGGGGATGGGATCGATCGCACTTTTCCTAAATCCAAGAGCTTTTTTTTTCGAGCTTGAACGCCAAGCAAAAGCCATGTGGCGGGTTTGCTTTTGGAATGACCATTTTGGTCATTTTGGTCGCCATGGAAAAATCGCGTCTTCAACCTCAACCAATCTTGTTTTGGGATGTTTTGGGAGGGTGCCAGTTTTAGCAACTGTCGTTGCTTTGGGGAGGTGAGCTTGTCAGATCCAACCTCTCACCAGGAGACAGGTTTATGAGGATGGCTTCGTGCAGGCCTGGTCTGGCTTTGTCTGAAAATTATGGGAAATTTCCCAAGAACCAATGGATTATCATGGATTATCATCATTGTCCGCAAGAAAACATAAAGCAACTTTGGTGGTAACATGTGGTAACCTCCAATTTTGGAGCATACCCAGATGGTCTTCAATTGTTACTATAATGCGAACATCATATTGTTATCAGACTCATAGGCACCAAAACGCAATTCTTGAGACTAGACATTCTGCTGTGCTGATTCTCTGAATATAATTCTGAGACCGGACTATCAACATTTTGGTGTTGCAAAAACAAAACTTCTATACCTGGATGTGTATCCCGGTATCCCAGTTTATAAGTGAGTAAGAACCACAAGATACATGTAACAGATGTGAGTATGTGTGAGATATACTGATATACCTCAGATATTTATCACATGATAAATACTAATTTATTATATTTTTAATATACATTGGATTATATTACTATGACTTATTGACATTTATTTGACTACATACTAGCACTATTTTAGGCTCCCGCACCAAGGATATGGACCTAGCAGCCCCAGTGGCAGGTCAGTGATTCTGTCTTGGAAGCACTTCGCTTGGTCCGTCACTACAATGTCCGGGAGCTCAAAAAGATGGCGATCAGTGAGGTGATAGAGCTGTGTTTCAGGAAATGGATGGAAATGCTGGAAATGGGGATGGGGATATGAGAAGATATGAGAAGTTTATGGATATGTAATTATGTATAGATATATGTATGTGTGTATATATATATACCAACCATCAATAATGAACCCACACATCAATACTTGGAATATAATTTGTGTATGTATGTCTATATTATGTCTATATTATATTTATATATATATATAGATATGTAATCATGAGATTTTTTTTTACCAACACTATGACTTTATCAGAGAGGGAAGTTCCAAACGCTGGCCAGGTCGGATTAGATACAACCCTCACTTGGACCCTATTGGGCATGTCTACATCTCAGTTTTCGGTTCACCGGGGCCCTAACCGGGGCCTCCGGGGCGTTGTGCTTTTTGTGAAACGAAGTCCAGGCGTCTGAGGGGACTTGCTATGGTCATCATGCACATATAAGAATTTACAAGATAGATATCACTGATCATCACTGATCCTATCACTCCATATTGTTTGAGACTTCGAATAGATGAACAGAATGAACGGACTCGTTGCATGACGATTCCACCAATCCCCACAGCCGAGCCTCCAGAGCCTCGAGGCTCAGCATTGAGGGCTCCGCCCGGCAGTTAGATCCAGAAGTGGATTGTGCCAGAGCTGCCACCAGGTGGGACGAAGCGGTCAAGGGATGTCAAGGCGTCAAGGGGTGCCGAGAGCATCCGTCACCATGGCAGGTACATCCTGAATATGCCAAGCCTGTGGAATGAACTCCGAAGTCACTCGTGGCATACTTCCAGGCAAGGACAAAAAATGTGTTGCCTTCTGGCCCTGAGGTTTTCTGTACTCGGAACAAAGTTCTTCAACATCGTTCAACAGTTGCTCCTGTTTGCTCCAAAGATTCTAGTGTTCCGCCGGCAATTGCATCTACTCTGACTGTCCAAAACAGGAAAGGTTGCACTATCAACAATCATCTCCCAAAAAATCTGAAAAAACATGTTGATCCAATAACCTCAAAAAGCATGTTGAAGTGAAATCACCCGGTTTTGGTTTTGCCGCATTTTTTTGGTACCTCGTTTGTGGTACGGACAGAGGATCAAGGCCTTAGAGGATCAAGCCATATCAAGCCATTGAGCCAGGCATATGTTTGTGGAAATGTTCCTTACTTGGCTTGGAATTGACTATTGGGTGCGGATCTCAGCAGTTTGAAAAAAACAAAGGTCTGTTGAAGGATTCTTGATGATCTTGATTCATGATTTATATTGATTTACTATGATTTATTATGATTTATCCCTATTTTATCCCTTTCTTCTTGATGTTTTTGGCAGTTTCCAGGGACGGCATTCAGAGATTGCTTCTGTGAGCCCAGGAGTGGCGAAACTCCTCACAAATCTTTGAGAACTTCAAGATGTGAGGACAGGATCAGTCGTCTGGGGGTGTCAAGCAGAGATGTTCGCCATGGGATTTTGACATGATAGGTTTGCATGAATGTGGCATGTCAGGCTGCTGTGAGGCCTGTCAGACCGTTCAGAATTAAATGTTTTGAATAACAATAACAACAACATATTTGCATGCAAACCTAGCGGACAGTGCGTTTTCGAGTTTGCTTGAAGTCGATTGCTTTCAAACCTTTCCAGATCATGATCTTCCAGAGCCATATCACTCCAAAAACTGGCAGTTGATGTCGTGTCATCCAGCTTCATCCAGACCTTTGATGCAGAAAAAAGAGTGGTTCAAGGCGGAGCTGGTACATGGCTTGCCATGGAGTCCAAGGGCGAAATGATGCCGGAAATATCATCAGCATACTGTCGTGCAAGCGCCAAACCTTGCACCATCTGACAGATTTGACCGAGTGATTGCAAGGGCTTGCCTGCCATAGAATGGGACGTGTGGGGATGATAAGCAGTGATGAGGAGTTGAGCTACGAACCAAATCCGTATCATTTTTGACTAATTTTGCGAGCCAAGGTACTTTGCTGAATTTCAACATTTTCAACCATGATTTTCACTCCTGCATTGCCAGTCTGCAGCAGCAACAGAAAATTATGAATTGGCGTCGTGGGAGTGGAACCTTGTCATCGGGAGCGAATTGGCCACACAAAGAGCAGCGCCGGGGGGGCTGCGGCTCTTGTGGAATTTCCGCGAGAGCCTTAGCTCCCCTGGCGCCGCTCTTTCATGTAGTGCAGCAGTTGGATTGTGTGGTTGAGTGCCGCAAAACAAAAACAAGGCGCCGAATGAATGGAGCGACACTGGCCAAACTCACAGGCGCCAGGGGGGCTGCGGCTCTTGCGGAATTTCCGCGAGAGCCTTAGCTCCCCTGGCCGCTCTTTCATGTAGTGCAGCAGTTGGATTGTGCGGTTGAGTGCCGCAAAGCAAAAACAAGGCGCCAAATGAATGGAGCGACACTGGCCAAACTCACAGGCGCCAAGGGGGCTGCGGCTCTTGCGGAATTTCCGCGAGAGCCTGAGCTCCCCTGGCCGCTCTTTCATGTAGTGCAGCAGTTGGATTGTGCGGTTGAGTGCCGCAAAGCAAAAACAAGGCGCCGAATGAATGGAGCGACACTGGCCAAACTCACAGGCGCCAAGGGGGCTGCGGCTCTTGCGGAATTTCCGCGAGAGCCTGAGCTCCCCTGGCCGCTCTTTCATGTAGTGCAGCAGTTGGATTGTGCGGTTGAGTGCCGCAAAGCAAAAACAAGGCGCCGAATGAATGGAGCGACACTGGCCAAACTCACAGGCGCCAGGGGGGCTGCGGCTCTTGCGGAATTTCTGCGAGAGCCTGAGCTCCCCTGGCCCGCTCTTTCATTTAGTGCAGCAGTTGGATTGTGCGGTTGAGTGCCGCAAAGGCGCCGAATGAATGGAGCGACACTGGCCAAACTCACAGGCGCCAGGGGGGCTGCGGCTCTTGCGGAATTTCCGCGAGAGCCTGAGCTCCCCTGGCGCCGCTCTTTCATTTAGTGCAGCAGTTGGATTGTGCGGTTGAGTGCCGCTGAACAAAAAAAGGCCGCCAAATGAATGGCTGCGATTCGGACTTGGTGACAAACCAAGTGAGTGTTCTGAAGTGCAGCTGGACTGGACGAACTTGCTGTTGACATTTATTTACCATCTCATCAATATATAATTATATATATATAATTATATATATGTATATATACGTTTTCTAAATAATAACACTAAAAGATGGTAGGTTTTCTCACAAGGCTTCAAGGTTTTTGGATTCTTGGTGCTTCCACATTGCCTGCATGGATGGCCCACAGGAACTGTGACACATGCAAACAACATGAAATAGAATTTCAACACCCTGAAACTCCAGTCTGTGTGCCACCCAAATTGGACGCCTCTACACAAATAAATGAAATCGCATGGAATACCTTCATTATATTCAAATATATTCAACCTGCTAGGGATTTGAACTAGATTAGTGTGAGCTGACACCGGAGAGGCAACACTGTAAGTCTCAGCTTAATTCCAGAAGTAAGTGGAAATCAACAACTGCATCAAAAAACTACAGGATATGCCCTGGAAACTGTTGATTGGTTCTCCATCCTCCAGTAAGAGCAACGCATTGGGCACTATTGGATACTATTGGCCTGTCGCATCCTTTGAGTCATTGGCTTCACTGCTTCACTGGGATGGAAGAGAAAAGCATAGCTGACATCTTCGCCACCCAGCGCAGACAGGGTCAGTTCGACTTGGGAGATCCGACTGACGAAGCAGCTGATCAGTGAGGGATATCACCCAGACATCCACTACTCAAATTGCCCCCAGCCATAACCATGTCCGGAAGACTCGTCATTGGCTTGTAGAGCCAGTGACGATTGCGCTTTGCTGAGGACTTCATTGGGTTTGGACGCTTCCAAAGATGTTTGCTGATCATTGCAGGGCTTGGCTTCATGGCAGATGCCATTGAAGTCGGTGCAGCACACGGGAAGGGTGGTAAGGGAGAGGAGCCAGGTTTGATCATATCACTAGTGCGCAGGAAGTTCCCCTTGGCATTCATTCGAGCTTTTTGCAGACTCAAGGTTTCAGAGATATTATATTATATTATATTATATTATATCATATTACATAAATAATCTTTGTTTCATCATCTGGGAGTCATAAATACTGTAATTAGGTTTTGGGTACAAACACCGACCATCGGGTTTTTATCCGTTTGATTCCTTGTTTGGGCCGGCTATAGACTTTTGGATCAGCTTCAGATAGCCGGGTGGCAGCCACAGGCAGATGCCTGTCATTCCGCTACTGTCCAATTTTCTGCAGGCGTTATCACATTTTTGGTGCAGAAAGCGAAAGAGGAATGGCCTGAAGTAGAAGGTGGAATGGGGTGAAGGAGTGAAGGGCTCTTGTGCAACCATTCCACATGTTTTGCAGTACCGGGAAGCGGGAAGAGAATCCAAGCAAGTGACAAAGTATTTCCTACTTGTCTCGTTTGGAGGGTGACGTGATGTGACGTGGCAAGACCGGCCCTCTACAAATTCCATCAGGTTTGACATGCATCAACATTTGATTTGCCATAAGTTGGACCTATGGGTGCTGGGTGTGGAATTAATTGGAACATTTGAATCTTTGGGACGCGTCGTCCAAGTCAAAAGCTTTGAGTTCGTTGGAAGTTGTATGATGTTTAAACTGACTCTCCTTCAAGGCTGGCAACTGAATGCTTTGTCCACAAGCGTGTTTACCGCCAAGCTGTGACTCAGCTGCAAGAGATCCGAGGTATTCTGTGGGGTCCATCCACCTCCATCCACCATATGGGTATGGATCAATACCTATTAATACCATTTTTAGGGGAATGAACATCCATTTACCAGCTATTTTGATGTTCACCAGGGGTACAAGGTTTTGACACACTGCCATATCACTATCTCAAGAGGTTTTCGCAAATCCAATGGTCCCACTCGATTTGTTGAGGCTTGGGAGCTGGATCTGGGGGAGCTTGTCAGACCACTTGGGTCGCAGGCTCTGTGCTCCTTCACTTGTACCAGTGATTCCCAGTGGCCCAGTGGCATCCATGGCATCCATGGCATTCCCAGCTTCTTGTGGTATCCAATGGCCTCAGCCTCACAGGCTAACCTTCTTACTGGCCAATCTGTTCCTCTTAGTCACTGGCTGCCTGTCTGCTGCAGCCCCGTCGTCGCGTGGCGCAAGGAATATAGACAGGATTCAATGATGTTCAATGGTTCTCTACTAAAATGCAACGAAGAAACGAAGCAAGAAACCTCTCTGACCTCCGAAGATCTCCGAAGCCCAAGCCACTGAGGTATTTTTGGCTAGTTGCGGCACGCGCACTGGTTGGCCTAGCGATCGGAGGAATCATCGTTCCTTTTGATAACCTGGCTGATGCTTGATGCAAATGGTCACGAAACACATGGGTATGGGAATGGATCAAGTGGATGTTCATCCCGCCAAAGATGGCCATTCCCATGTGACGTGGGCCTTGTGTCTTGCCAATCCACGTGGAAAACGAACAATCAACATTTTCACAGGTCGCAGCCCTGGGGGGGTATGATGGTGGACCTGTGATCAAGCAACAGATTTTGCATGACTTTGATATATTTTGTTACTGTAGGTTTTGTGTTTGAAGGCTGGTAGGACCTGGTAGATCCTGGTGTAAAGGACAACAAGACAGGGAAGATCAGGGAAGCATCGTATACGACTGAAAATGTGAGTCTGAGCAGTGCGAAACTGTGACAGGGTTGGAGTGCGTTCGGAGGAATATTGATGCAATTTGTAGGTTCCATTTTATTGAACTCTTTTGTTTGCTTGCTGCTTAAGTTTAAATTCTATCACACCTTGCAGGCAACCCATGCTTGTCATTGCTTGTCATAGTGCTGTGGCAGGAACTGAAGTGCCAAGGAAAGCGTGCCAGAAAGCTGGTCTGGAAGCGTTTGCTTTGCAATCGAATATTTTTGGACGTTGCTTGGCTTCAAGAATCTTCGAGGTGTTGCCATGGTGTCGCCCTGGCCAAAGGTTTTTTTTTGCCCCTTTCTTACCGGATCCTGACTAAAAGGTACTGCACTCAACAATCTCAACAAACATTTGGAACGCACACTATGTTTCTCAAGAAAGCAATGGATGATGAGATTTCCGAAAGCCACATGTTGTGCCCTAGGCTTGGAAGCCTGTATTCCAATGGTTTAGCTGCCCTGGTGATCGAGCCGTTGGGATGGAGGTGCCGTCGATAACTAGCATGTGACCATGGACAACTACTTCAATGGGGCCCATTGAATGGGGGTTAAACATCACATTTTGGTGGTGAATTATAAAGATGAACTGCCCAAAAGCTATAGTTTATAGATGTTCATAGCAATACATGGCTCTGAGGAAGTATCCGGAACCCTTAGACCGCCTAAACATCCAAAACTGTTGGCAGGGTCTATTTGCTTTTCAGTGCTCTCCCAATCCTACTGGCGTGCATGGGCTACTTCTTCTTAGAGGAGAGCTGCCACCGATGAAACGACCTCAGCGCATTGAGAACGGTGCGATGTGCTGCGGTACTCAGACATCCACCTTATTAAGTGAGCATCACATCCTGGGCATTTGAGTCTACGTTATGTGCATTTCAAGTATTTCCAAGTCACCATAATTCAGAATTATTCACCTTTTTTCCTTCGGTGACCATATGTGATCATTTTCTCCCCCAACCATTCATCTCCCTTTTGCAAAATGGCAGTCTTCTGCCAGGAGAGTCCCATGTGGCTCCTCGATCGTGGTTATGACTATGAAGCCTGGCAGGTGTTGCAAAGGATCAGCCGCATCAATGGCAAGGAGTCTTTCCGCTGTGCACTTTCGGTTCTGTAAAGGATGCGATTCTGAAATTAGTATGTACAACCATGTACAACCTATGCAATGAACATAATCGAAGATGCCATTTACATATTAATATATAATTATATATATATAATATATATATACACACGTATATATATATATATATATTTGATATATGTTGTGACTGGGGAGTGAGACTCAAAGTGTAGAAAATCGGACGGTCTCGATATGTCTCGTAGACATTGACATACATTTTCAAGATTTTACAAGTAATTACAGAATCGTAACCTTTTCCACGTGCAGAATTCGTGGATTGGGCAGTCAATTGGCATCGCAGGACCTGAGCAACATGGCGTTAGTGTCCTATGCCAGAGAAGCGGATCCTTCATGCAGAGAACTACTGGCATCTTAGCTGCCTTGGCTACGTATTTTCAAACATTGAAAGTTGGGATATCAAATTTATCAAAGTCGTGACATGGAACAAAATCCCTATGAGCCATAAGGTAACCTTTAAAAGAATCCCACACATCAGTGGGGCAAGTCTGTCTGGTTCAGCTGGAGAACGCTGGAGATTTCACATGATTTCACAGCGACGTATCAGATGAGGTTCCGTCGCTCCGGAGAAGCCTGCTTTCTTTGAGTTCCTTGGAGCAAACAGTTATAAACAATTGCCAAGGTTTGCAATCGTTGTTGTGGGCTAGTGAACATACTTCAGGTATTCCCAAGCTTTCTATGACTGAATCTGGAGACAAGATAACACAAAGCTATACGCGCATGAGACGTGCAGATCTCCGATTGCATCCTCTCATTTTTCAGACTTCAGGTATCATTTGGTGGCTTGGACTCTTTGGCTACTACGGTGCTTCCTTGGGCAGCGGTTTAATTTTCTCCTCCAGTGGTTCCTTCGACTACGGTGAACTGATCTTCTCCAGCATGGGGGAGATTGCAGGAGTGACCGTAGCCATGTGTTTGGCCTGGCGGGTCTCGGAAATCATCATCCAGCCATGGTTCTACTTGGTCAGCACCTTGGCTTGCCTTGCTGTCCTCATTGCACATGCCTTGAAGGGACCAGCTCTGCTGCTGGGTGCCCTAGCCTTCATTTTGCGCGCTGGAAGTATGGGTGCAATTTCAGTGACTTGGGTTTTGACACCCACAGCATTTCCAACACACGTGCGGTGCACGGCGCATAGCATTCTCTATACTGCGGGCTCTCTTGGACCGGTCTGTGCCACGTTGTGGCCTGGAACAACGCCACTAGCCGTGATCATGGGAAGCTACGCTGGGGCCAACTTGGTCTGTGCAATTGTCGGGCAGTGGCAAGTCAAAGGTCTTGCAGCGCACCTAGGAGACAATGTCAGTTTTGGTTTGAACGGAGATTTTCAATCCATGGGGGTACCCCTAAATCATCCATTTTAATAGGATTTCCATGATGAAGCATCCAGCTATTGGGGTACCCCCATGGCCCATGCCTTAGGAAACCCCCATTTGACCACGAAAAGCCACAGGCATCCATCCTTCCAACTGCGCTCAAAGTGCGGAGTCCTTCCCATGTTCATATCTGCCACGTCCTGTAAGTACCTATTGCGGAGAATTAGCGAAAACAAACACACACACACACACACATTCTACATACACATTATATATCTATATATATATATATCTATATATATATATATAATACATATATCAACTACCCAGACCCATTCTTTGTTATCATGGATCATATTGGATCATGGATCCCAATGCTGTCATCTCATCGGCTGAGGCGTGGAGCCTTCGATAGTCTCATTTCAGACTTGCACGCCTCGAACCTGGAGCGCAGGGCCAGATCCTCCATCACCAGGGAGAGTCGTGTGCCTGGCCACAAAAAAAAGGCCCCCACTGGTGGTGGCTGGAGGGGTCACCCTCCCAGGAAACCAATAGGGTGAATAGGGATCCACAAGTAAATGATGAGTAAATGATGAGTAAATGATGAGTAAATGATGAGTAAATCCTGTGAAACGAGCCCCTCTTCAGAGAGTTGAATCATCATGGCACCGATCTATGAGTTAGAGGTGTCAGACAGGGGAAGGACATCCAAACAAGATGAACACTCCATGGAATCAGATAGTTTTTTCCGACCTGCCAAAGGCTGTTGGACTCCACATTGGGTTTACTTCACCTATTGGAGTCAACTCCATCCATGTCATGGTCGTAGGCATACTCCTCTCTGCTCTAATAGTCCCGTATCATGCATTATCATGTCATCTAGGAATATCTTCTAATATCTACAATACATATATCTACTATATACTGATATTATACTGATATATCTATATATACTGTACAGTATAGCCGCTATCAGAAGATTTTTTTTGGTATAAGTTGGATGTTGCTATCGTCATCCCAAGTTGGATTCCTCCCAAGGCATCGAGACCCACTTGGGCCAGTCGGCCCAGTTGGATGAGCCGGCCCAGCTGGAGCAGTCAGCCTGAACGAAGCTCCAATCTCCTGCAAAACGCTGAATGATCAGTTGATGGCAATGGGAAATCCATGGAAATCCATGGAAATCCCCTATAAATGAATGTTTTAATGGGAAAATGACGCGAAAATCATCTATAAATTTGTTGGATTTTCCATTGCGATGTTTGATGCGGTTATTACTTGAGGATTTTGATGTGGGAAAGCATCTCAGGGTGAAATCCGAATGAAAAAGGTGCTACAACTTGAATTCATGGCTACAATTGGCTACAGCATGCTACAGCTATATCATCAAGAAGTGCTTTGAAAAACAACTCACAGCTACGGCGTTGACTTTGGACCCCTGCAAAGTTTGGGAGTCTATCAATGCAAGCGGCTAAAAATGGTGAAACGGATGCTTGTGCCGATTTGGATCGAGTTATTGTTGCGCAGCGATTCATAAGGTGTGTTTCGAAGTTGCACAGACCCTTCAGAGATACATCGAGGAGGGTTCGACAAAAGTACTTGCAAACAATGTTGCTCCTATGCAGAATCGCTTGTGTTGCAAGTTCAGCTGCGAATCAGGACAACACCCTGACATCACGCAGAAACTTCAGTGAACCGGGTGAATCCATGATTTTTTCAGCAGTCTCCTCAGTGAAGCTATGAAGTACAAATATGTATTAGATATAAATATAATATTCATCGAATCAGATAATTGCGGCACTCCCAAATCAGCAGGTTCATCCTTGATGTAAGCTGAACATTGGATACATTGGATGCTGGCAGATCTTTAGCTCATAAAACATCAACAAAAAACTGGGGAAACCGATGCCTTGAGCATCAAGCAATCCGGAGGTGAATGATGCGCCTCGTGATGCAGTCGGTTTGTTTCCAGTTCAGGGTTGGCTTCAAGCGATGGACCAAGCCCTTTGCTCCATGGCAATACCTGGCATGAGCAGTCTCAAGCTTTTCACTTCGACTTTGAATTGTAAATCCATGTAAATCCAATATAGATCACTATAACTCCCATATACATCCTGGAGTGTCTCAATTATTCCCCACTTTCATCCGAGTTTCAATAGTCCGATTTTTTTCCAACTTGAGACGGTCCAATAACCAATCACATGTCCAGGGTGGGGATGGTTTCGATGGCTATCAGGATAAGATCAGCATGAGATCCACAGCAGAAGCTACGCCAGGGCCGCCAGGTGGCTGTGAGGCAAACTCGCCAGATCTTTTCCGTTGAGACATCGCCTCATCGCTTCCCACAGAGTGTTACTGACACGGTCGATATGATGTGCACCAATCCACAAATTGGAGTCCGCAAAGGATACATCACTAGGCACTGCTGTTTGCTTGCCGCAATGGTCATCTTAGATCATCTTAGTTCTGTTACTTCCGGTACAGCGAACGTGGGAAAAAATATACCTCGCAGGTGTTTACATGGCTCGCTCAAGCTTTTGTCCTGAAGCCATGATGAGCAAAGAATCTACGTATTGTAGTTGCCCTTTTTGCTCTGGTGAAACTCATGACCGCTGGCATTTTGGCTCATTTCCTAAGACTGGAGTGTGATTATTTTTGGGTGTCAAAGCACATGCCAACCAGGACCTGCTGGAGAGCGACCTGTTCAATGGTCAGTTACAAAGCAGATCATAGACCATCACCAACCGTCACACATGGCAACCCAAAGGATCTCAGATCTGTCACCAGGATCTATGTGGGAAACCTGGACAGAGAGGTTCCACCAGAAAAGGAGGCATGTCATCACCGCCCAGTGCGTAGCGCGTGCTGAAGCATTTGTACCAACTTTGAGTTGACGCATGCACCAAAGCCTCCCAAAGTATCTGAAAGGTGTTGGTGATTATATAGATATATAAATATATATATATATACTTATATCCAGTTTATCCTCAAAGTTGACCGTGGGCAAATAAATTTGGTGTTTGGTGACGAGCGGAAGCAATGGGACCAGTGGATCGTGGTGCCAGGATCTAGCCCGAAAGTTCAAAAAGTATGGCGACATCGTGGATGTTTGGGTGTCGCGGCAGCCACCAGGTGCCGCTCAGTGGTGCATTGATAGCGCAACTGTAGATGAGACCAACCTTGCACCGCTTGGGACATATATCAGACGCATCAACTTGGTTGTAGTGTTTAGATGTGCTTAGTCAACAGCAAGGTTGCTTCGCTGCAGAAAATTGAGAAGACAAAGAAGATATGGAGATGTGAGTGTGGTGCCTATCCAATCTGTAACGATACTGTACTTGCCAGTGCTGCCAGTGCGTGGGTGTGTGAGAAGTGTTCTTACAACGTTTTGGGATTTTTGGTTATGGATGTTATGGACATGTATCGTTCCTTCTTGTGGAAGATAAGTCCCAAAATGTCCCAAAGCGTTTGAAAACAGCGCGAGGGTTTGCCTTTGTCACCTACGACACCTACAAAGATGTCGGATGCTTATCTGCTTGTGGATGTCCTGCCAACGTTCTTAACGAAACATCTCACAATCATGTCTTGGAGTTATATCAAGGGCACAATCATCAGACAGTATAGTATAATAAGTTTGAAGGCCTGACCTGCTTACTGGTTGTTGAAGAATATCTAACAGGACTTGCAGACTCTGCGCAAAACAATGATCATGATTGTGGCAATTGTGGCTTGCATATCTATCTTTCATCGCAAAATTCCGCTCCGGAATAGTGGACCTTAAGGCACCGAGAAAAGTCGGTCATCCGAAGTTTTTTTGTAGCGGAATGATTCCGGAGTCCTGTGGAAGGCTGGTTGGCCCATGTTGGCCCAGCAAGTCTTTGATTTTGTAATGAATGTGTGTTCGTTCCCTTCAGATCATCAGGATTCATCAGGTTTTGATTCTGTAGTGGGGAAAGCAAGATTATTATGTTTGGCCATATTTGGTTGTTGCTGGTCTTATGGATGACGCATGGGATTCTAGGGAAATGCCTGGCTGAGGCCCTGAAAGCCATTGAAGGCATGGATGGTGTCAAGTTTCAGGCCTCTGTGCTTACAATCTGTAGCGATTCTGGGCAGATGTGTGTGACCCTGGGAATCAGATACTACAGATATGGCCGCGGCTCAAAACCATACCACCCTTGATCCATACGCAAACATATGCAAAAATGTCAAGTTGTACTAGGCCACTCTAGTATACATTCGCAGGAGGCCCGGATCAAACCTCTTATATGTACTGTAACTCACTCGTTCCAGACTGCCGGACTACAGCGGAACGATCCATACCCTTTTTTTGAGCCATACCTATGAGTAGGGGAACTGACAACCGTGGAGGGGGGGCAGGGCAGGCACATAAATCAGGGGTTGCAGTCATATGATGCAAGCAAGCCATATCTGTCTTTCCTTGATGCAGGGGAAGAACCTGAATATTCAGCTCTCAATGGGCAAGGGTGGAGGAGCCTTCCGCCAACATCATCCGAATATGTGCAATCAGATGGTTGTTTTGTGGAATCATGGCAGCCTGCAAGTCGAGCACAAGCTAGAATTTGAATGAATTTGAGTCATCATGTCCATAATCTGATACAATCCCGTTACAGTATGTGTTGTTTTTCGTTCAGCCCAAAATTTTTCAGGGAGGATTTTGCCAGCTCACTCGACATGGGATTGGTTGAAACATGTTGAAACCAGCTGAAGCCAGGGGGAGGTGCGCAACCTGGTCCGAAGCAAAGGCGACAGCTGGCGACAGCTGGCTGCAGTTGCTGGATCTGGATGCCATGTGCTCATTCCTCTAATGACCCAATAGTTCTAGATCAGTTTTTAAGATGTGCTATAACAACCATTAATATACCATTAATATCAATAATTTAATATCCAGAAAACATATGAAACAGTATTATCATGTATTCATCATCAACATTCATTATACAATCGTTCTTAAGCATTAACCATTTGTAGATGATTATATATACTGAATAATCTGTGAACTATATTGATGATTATATACTATATATATTAATGTTATACAGATTATCCATCATTTGTGAACTATACGTCGTCTCAGACCTTGCGCCGATGGCACGTCTCTTTCACGGCCAGGCGTAGCCGAAGTCGCGTCCGGCGGAGCTCCAGCAGAAGGATGGATTCCAATTTTGTTTCATTTGTCATAGAATTGGATGATGGGAAAATTTACACTGAAAACCGGAAAACCCTATAAATTTGATGGTAAAAACTTAAAACCATAGTTTCTTGTAGATTTTCCCTTCAATGAATGTGTTGAAACATGTTGAATCATTCTTCATCCACCTCACCAAAGCTTGCCCGTTGAATTTGAGGCGAAGCCGCAGCCGGCGCAGTCGACGGCGGAGCTCCGAGAGGATTCGGGAAACTCCATGTGAATGCCATGGCACTGTTTGGGTTTCTGGGGAAATGGTGGTATATTATCGTACATTATGGTTGGTTTATTGATACTGTATACTGTAATATACTGTATACTTGTGTAATCTTGCATATATAAATGTATGTATAATGATGTGTGTAGTGCACCTATGTAACTGTATCCCCAACCTTACGATTTTAGTGAGTTTTGATGAGGAAAATTGACGAAACATGACGATTCATTTCGTTGGATTGGTATACAAGTGAGTGCGGTCTGGATTTCTCTATGGATTACTAGTATTTCCATTTCCATCATGTCTGAAGGGAGTTGTATTTGACGTCTAAGCCAGTGTCCGAGACGGCGCAAGATGGAAAGTTCAAGTTCAAGATGGAAAGTTTGTGTCAAGCCGAATGACATTTTCTCAACAAACGCTTTCTTGCTGAAGCTTCGCTAACACATTGATTGTAAGCCTAGTTGCCAACTAATCCATACTAATCCAAGATCCTCCTTTCGTTTAAGATGTTTAAGTGTGTCGAAGAACGATCAAACATGGAGATGCCAGCAATCATTGGTTTCCCAATTCAACCATTTCTGAGTGGAGTTTGCAGTACTCCCTTTTTTCCGGAACCACCTCAGCAAATGTCCTTTGCCAGGAGAAGAAGGGATCGAAGCCGCTCACGCTCAGGATCCCCAAGAAGGGATAGGCCCGGAATCCATGACGTGACATGACGTGACATGACGTGACATGACGTGACATGATGTGACATGATGTGATCTGTCCTTTGCCCCTGTGCAGCCGCGCAGTCGGTGGGAATTGGACCCAGGCGCTCTCCATCGTACGGCAGATGATGCTGAGAGTTCAATACAATACAATCGGTACATTTGACGTGAGTCAGCTTTATTTATACAGTTCTGACCGGATTTGTCCGAGTTCCAATGAAGTTCATCCACTAATACACTCAGTGCGTTGAGGATTCTTACGAAAATTACCAGCAAATGAGAAGAGTTGATGAACAACTTGTTGCACTATGGTTTGCTTTAGTAACTTTAGTGCAACAGCAGTCTGAATGAAGACACTGCATCAGCGAAACGAAAGCTGATGGAATTATTGACAAGAAAAAGGTGGCAGCTCCTGTGGACAGCCGTTTGGCCAATTGGCTGCATGATGAGATGCAAGTATATAGCATTAAGTAGCTGATGGATCTGATGGATCTGATGGCAATGTCTCAATGACTCTAGCTACGCCCAACATTTGCTGTGCTTCGCTTTCAAAGAAGCACCTGAAAATACGTGGCAGTTCATGAAGGGAAGAAGACCTTGACAAGCTGGCAACAAGCACATCCAAGTAATGATTATATAGATATATATTATATGAAATGATTATGCTGTAATGTCATAGTGAATGATTTCTGAACATTTCCGGAAGCAGGACACTTGCATCCAGCCCATTGCACCTTCCCGCCATGATGGCTTATCCAGCTGTTTCCAGTAGCTGGTGCTGCTGCAGATCAGAAATCGGCCCATGTTCGCAATGACGCGTCGGCTGGATTTCATGTACAAACACAGCCTCAACTGGGCCTCAAACATCAGACACAACCAAGGCTGTCATTCAACCAAGACTTTCAAGAAAATTCAGGTGAGGTCATGACATGTCATGACCAATCTATATGGAATTGAGATTGGAATTTGGATGCGAACCTGGACATGCTTGAACTTAATGTGAGCAGCCAGGTATTGTTCAGGACATCCTTTCAGAGGCACTACATAGAATCCTTCCAGCTATAGTTTCCTGCTCCATTGTTTGTGCGATGAGCAACTCAGACAACGTTGTGTGAACCTCAGCTATAAAAAGGCTCTACTTGTTGAGATGCAGTGACTCGTGCATCCTTTGAATCCAACAATGTTCGGATGAAGAACTATATAATATATATATAATATATATATAATATAATATATATAATATACATAATATATATATATATATTATTGCTTGTGAGCCTGCATTGGTGTTCACAGTTCACGATGAAACTTCAGACCAGTTGCAGCTCCGCATTTCAGCATTTGTCAACAGAAGATAGCACCTCCGCAGGAGAAGGTCACTTCTGAAACATTGACAGATCTGCTATTGTAAGATGATTCAATACAAATGAATGTGACACCTAATATACAGTATAATAGTATATATACATACACATAGGTAGAATTTAAGTCTTTGGATTGTACTATGAGTTTGTGGTATCGATTGCTGCCGCTGCGCCCCCACAATGAGGTGCCAGACGCCAGCACAAAAGTGGGCAGCTCTGGACATGTGTCGGCAGGATGTAAGGACAACAGTTGCTGAAATTATAACCATCAGCCATTATTGCAATATATTGAGATATTGAGATATATTGTGGATATCCATATATATATATATAATATTGCTATATGAATGTTTATCCACCAATGATGGCCATCGAATGATGGCTTTTTTCATGGCTGAACCATCCTGGCCCATCATCGCAATATCCACTCGAGGCTGCACCGCTGCCACCACCAGCTCCTTCGGTGGGTGTACCTGCACCAATCGCTGATCCCAATTTCATTGATCCAGCCTGGCAGGTGCGGTTTTTCTGAGTTTGATGCTCTGTGGATGGCAGGGGTGCATGATATTCCATGATATACGATATATAGAATACTGCAAATATAAGATATCTATAGAATTATAATTATAGACTCTCTAGTTGTTCCGTTATATTTATATATAACTATAATATATCAATATATCTATGATATATAGATACCTAGTATCTACAGATATAGATATCTACAGATATAGATATCTACAGATATAGATATCTACAGATATACAGTAGATGTCATGACTGCCACTTGACCTGGCGTCCCTCGTCCTCGTTTTGTCGCCATCTTCGAGGTGCCCACCTCAGATGAGACGGCCGTGCCCAAGGACGACGATGGCGAGAGCTGGTTGGAACTCCTGCGGGATGGTTTGGACGCCTCAGTTGGGAAAAACCTGGGAAAAAAAACATGGGGAAACTGGGAAAACCATGGACCTAACGAACCCAAGTTCGGAATATGATCTACTTGCGGTGTATATCCTACTTTTATGTTGGGTTTTTCATGTCTGAAATGTACTGGAGGGTATGGGCTGTGGGAAAACCCCACTTAGCTCATGGATACTTAGTACTTAGCAGCCAGTGTTTTTTTAATGAAGCAGGATGTGCTCGTTACTCTGCTGGTAGAATATGGTATACAGCTGTTGTTTCTGTGCCATGCTGTGCCTCTGGGAAACGGTGGATTTTGAACCATCGAAAGGAACCTACAAATAGGATCACCTAGGACCTAGGAATAATGGAGGTGGATTTTGGACACCAACACCATGTTCATGATGACCTCGCAGGTTTTGGCAGTGTAATATGTGAGAACTTTGAGTCTTCAAACAGTGAGGATTATGGGAAGCGTCGAAGGACTTCTGTCGGATGTTCCGACAGTTTCATGGCACCAAGGCTATTACCGACAGCTTCGGGAGGTGCGCAGCCAGGGTATTCTGTGTATCAACTGTCCTCAAATTGATTGAAATGCATATCCCAAAAATCCAAGACCCATGGTAACAAAAGCCATTTGGATGGGACAAGAAAACGTATTTTTGGGGGATGGATGCCCATGGCTGCCACCTATTTTGGTATTTACCAGGGTACAGTACCAGGGTCTTAACCCACAGGCATACCACATTTTCAGACAAACAAAAATGTGCCTCTGTTGGGATTCTTAGTGGCTTGGGGCTAGGGCTGTCGCTTCACAGGAGAATGAGTACAAGCAGCCGCCTCCCTTTCCAAGGGTGATGCACTTCGCAGCACCACCTGGGCTTCTTGGCTGCATGGAGCGTGCTGGTTGTCCACCTTTCATACAGAAAATAACTCAGACTACTCGCAATTACTTGTAGCTACGATGGATTTGCAGAATCATGCAGAAACTAGGCCTTGGAGCTTCAGCCCCATTTTTGAGGACATGCTGATCCAGAAATGGTTCTCCCTGTGAGAAATTTCGATTCGCCTAGGCCGGTGCCGGAGGGCAAATTCCCACGGCAGGTGCGGCTCAGCTTCGGCTTCTGAAGATTTGCTGTAGCTGTGAGCTGCACCCTGAGGTGTTGGAGCAGCAGCGGGCAGTTCTTGCGAAGTTCGGAAGCTCAGTTCCATCATTTAGGATGGGAAAATAGTCTACGTGTGTCTATGATGTCCTTATTATGACATATTATAATAGTATATATTATATATATATATATATCATATATATATATATATTATAATATATATATATATATTATAATATATATATATATGATATATATATATATATTATTATATATATATATATTATAATATATATATATATATGATATATATATATATATATGAATGAACATATCTGAATATGAAGGTGAACAGCAGGGTATGATGGTGAACTGTCCCCTGCCTGACGTTGCTCGCACCTTTGGATTTCATGAAAAGCCACCTTGAAACAATAATGATAGTTATTGTTTAATTATGATAGTAATAGTAGTAATCACTCAATATCCTGCACCTGATGATCAAAAAAAAAAGGTTCGTAAACGTTGTTAGTGTTGGCAGCTGTATTTCCAGCAACATCCCTGGCCTGAAGGTTCAGACCGGATCCACCACCATCCAAGTTGGAATGCTCAGCTGTGCAGCCCGATATGGATTTGCCTGGATTGGCTGACTTGATTTCGCTGAGGGGCAAAATGAACTCTGGAAAAGGTGGCAAAGGAATGGTGCACAGCTGAGTTTGCAAGATGGACATCGGAACAATGCCTTCAAGATCCTTCAAGGCTCAAAATCACGTATTGGCTTGAAAGATCTTGAAAGTGTTGCTCCAACTAGAATGGCTTGAACGTTTTACTCCAACCACATCGGTGAATCTTTGGTCCCAACACTACTGCTGCCCTCGCTAAGATGATGGGCATGGATGGCATGGGCTACGGCATGGGCATGGGATGGAACAACTGGGGTTGGGACGGAGGTTGGGTCAGGGACTCAGCTCATGTTTTGCATTGTTTTGCCAGGTTCAATATATTCAACTACCATGTTTCTGTGCTTTGCAGAAACTTTGGACGTTGAAGGCCACACCCCAGATACTGTAAGTGGCCTTGTGGCTCCAGTTTATCAAAATCCCTCCATTGTAAATCATAACCTGAGGGCATGAAGGGTGGAGGATGCCTGCGCCCCAGGTTTCGTTGTATTTCGATCACGATTCCCTTTGTAAGTGAGAGTCTTTGTGTGCTTGAAATCGGACTTAGGGGGCAAAGGTAAAGGTCTTCCAGACATGTTTCAAGTGCTGTGTTATTTCTCCACAGCCACTGCTGGCATCTGCTGGCAGTAGCAGATGTTGAAAGTGGATGACAAACTGCTGGCCGCTGGTCAATGATCAGCTGCCCCATTAAATATATTAAATTGCCGTTCTATGGGATCTATGGGCATATTTTTCAGATGGACCCACATTGGATATCTGACAATAGCTGATTACCTGGATTCCGCAGAAGGCTGCAAGGATACACATTGAGCCAGGTGGCATGGGGAAGAAAGGTTGGTCCGACGGCTGGGAAGGCATCCAGGGCATCCAGTGGGGGAGTTTCTCTGAAAATTCGATGGCGCCGCAATTCTAATATATTCCAATGGTGTTCATCACCATTTTTCCCATGAAAATTGGTTGTTTGGACACATTCTTATCCATTTTTTCAATATTTTTAGTCACAGCCATGGAGTTGGAGTTGGCTCAGTCAAGCCATGTCACGCCCATGCGACCTGAGTTCTGTTGTAAACGAGTGAGTTCCTGCTAGTTCCTGCCTAGTTCTTGCATTTGCCCCTGCAGGCATGCCATATTGAGATGGAGCTAATGCGCCAGATATGCTGAAGAAAGGTGTTTCCGCAGCTGCACCTAGCATTGAGCACCAGATAGCACCAGCAGCAGGCTATCTTTTGATGTCTTTTTTTAGCAATTCTTTTCCAGTGACGTGTCAAAAAAACATAATCACAGGATGTCCAAGTCCGGCAACCCCGCAGCATTTTGGCTTATTCTTGCTGTTCTTTCGATGTTTCATTGGGAGAAGATGATACAAGTCTTTTCTCCAGAACTGCACTGAAGGACATGGAGTTTCCAGTGAGTCAAAAGATGTCAAACGTATCCAGCGAAGCCCGTTTTTTTATGCTGAACATCTTTTATGGAGGCTCCAGCGATTGCGCCTTTTTAAGCAGTTCGACTCACAGAGAATAGGTGAAGCTTGGCCTACCTCCATATGAAAATGATCACGATCCGGAAGCTTGGAGGTAGCTGGTAGCTGAAATACCCAGAACAATCGAACTTCACTGAATCCCCTGCAACTTGCAGCATAGCGAGCGTGCCATGACAGAGTCATTGGGCAAAGGCGTCAAGAGCCACGTTTGAAGATCAGACAAATCACCTACTGATTGGTGAAACACGCATGCTCATGCCATAACCTATCCATTAGCTACTCCCATTCGATTTTGTTATATGTTGTTACTTTGTTGCTCAGTTGCTCCACGTGTGGAACTAAGATTGCCCGAAAAGAACAAGTAGAAAAATCGTGATAGATCTAGGGTGTAGCTGACTTTCCACTTCCAGGCCAATCCGATGCTGAAGAAGGCACCCTTCGGACATCCACCAAAGGTTGACGTTTGCTAAAACCCCAACAATTTCTATAGTTAAAAACATATTTACATATTATATTTACTATACATCTAGAGATGCATGATAGCCAAGGTCTATGCGATACACGTACTTAGCATGCAACATATATGTGATACAATCCACAGAATGCGTCCACAACACCTTTCCAGTTGCGGCAGGGAATTTAACGCTGGAGATGCTGTGGAGCGAGCGACTGACTTCTGCACTGTCCTTGGAAAGGTATGGCCGAAACAGTATAACTTGCAACATTGTATATCCATGTATTCCATGTATATCCAATAAGTAACTAGCATACTAGCATCATTCTGGTTGTGGCCACTTCCCATATTAGCAACAGATGCCATTACCCTTTTTGGTATCCTATAGTTGAGAGTGAGAAACTCAGCGTGAACATGACCATCGATGGTGGAGATGGGAGGATTTAACCCAAATCCTGAAGGTTCACAAACAATTGGAGCAGATCCTGTCAGATTTGCACAGGCTCTCCTGGGAGACGTAGTTTTCGTGAGACTTCTGATTAAAATACAATGACATACTATCTAAAGTAGTCAGTAGTTGCAGTAATATGACAATTATAGATTCATATAATAACCATGAATAAATAATATAATCCCTCTTACAGATTCAATATGTCAACATGTTTCAACTCTGTGTTTTAGCCTTCATGTTGTTTTTTGGGTGGGAATAAATCTCCTTGATATCTCAACTGATGTAGGAATATATCCACAAGCCGGATCTCTGCATGGATTTTGCACATCCTATCACCACCGTAGATGGAGTTCATTAGATTAGGAGATTTGAAGCTCATTATTTTTTGATCCTAGCGCTGAGTTTATGAGAGTTATTGTTTTTTTTTCAAGTGAGACACGTTGCCTGGGCTGTTGACACGAAGACTACGTCAAGATAGTAGTTTTCTGCTTCTGCATGTTCCTCTGGAGGACTTCTAAACCTGTCGTGCAGGCAACTCTGTGCAGATCATCACTTGGCAATCCAGTCCTTGAAGGACGGCATGGAACAGGCATCTGCAAGTCTTTTTCGATCTTTTTTCGACCTGCCAGTGTGGTGTGTGTGAAAGCAGTACAGTGATAAATCATTCCAGATATTCTAGAAAGATGATCTGTTTTGCTCTCTTTCGACCTGTGGACATGTTTGATGATACAGCCTCTTGCAGTTTTTGGCACATCAATGGCTTGACTAGATCTCAACTACCTGCAACCAACAGAGACGTGGATGCACAAACTAGACAGATGCGAATCTCAGGAATTGGTGTCATGGGAATTTGGTGACCCCCCCAATGATAGCTGATGAAGTTTCGCCCTTATTGTTGTAGTTGTTGGTGATTCACAAGCTCTTAATACCTCTTGGCATGATTATGATAATGTTTGGCATCAGATAGCCTACAACTCGTACCTTGGCTGCACTAGGCAACCTTTCGAAAGGCAGAAGGTGCCAGCAAACTGAAGAGGCTGACCTAATGTAGACCTGGCAGTGGAACATGCAACACGAGTGCCAGAGGAACCTTTGCGATTTTCTCGATTGCTGTCAGAAGTATTGAGCAAGATGAAGCAAGATGAAGCAAGGGTAAAATACAAAGTCCTCCATCCAACATCAATGCTACTGTGGATGGAAGAAATCCTGCACCAGTTGATAGATGGTTTATCCTACTATTTATAGGGTTTCAACCATCCAAGGTGGTGCAGGATTTCTCCCATCAACAGTATCAATCCAGATTTGTTCTTTGTCAATTGACTCGGCTGGGCAGGCCTCGCAGCATCGGCCGGAGTCCCTCACTGTGGACCACGGGGCTAAGCAGTGCACCTTGGCGATATGCACAGCTGTTTGGCGGATTTACTTTATAGGATGTTATAGTACTGTTATAGGTAATATTATGTACTATTATATTATGCAATATTATGTATTATTATGTAATATTATGTACTATTATGTAATATTACTGTATGTAATACTATGTAATAACTTATGGGTAAATACAAGGAAAAATCAGCAACATGCCAAATGACATGTGCAAGAGGTTGCAAGGGCTTTTTTTGTGGTTTCAACGACTCGCTTTTCCCGCATCTTTTCTGTCCTTTGTCGTCCACCCCAGATTTTTAGTTTTTTTGAATCCGCCAACATTCTGCCAGTGTTTTTAATGCCTTGCTCTACGCCATCCTAGGATAGCCTCTACCAGCTGCAGAAGGATCCGAAGAATTCAATCATGCTCAGTGAGGAAGACAGGTAGATACCTCTAAGGTAGTTTATCCACGTGAAGATAGCTTCTTAACCTCCGACTCAGCCTGATCTGTGTTGAATAAATTTGAATCGATTTGATGGATGATGTTGACAGGAAGAGTCACAGTCGGTGGCGATGTTTGATCGTACCATGAGTGGTGTGAGCACCTTCCCAAAGCCAATCCAGGCAATGGCCGGTGGCATTTGTTTGAAGCAGTGGCTGTCTCTTGACGGTCTTTTAGTCTATTGCATTGATGACTTCTTGTAAAATGTAGGGCAGACAGCAATGTGTTGGGAGCCCCAACATACACAATTCGATGGTTTTGGTTTTCACAGCACAACTTCTTTGTTGAGGGAGTGCCCCGCATTGAATGCTGGGTTGACACGGCAGATGTTGATGGAAACCCAGCGACTACTGGCCAGATTGGATCCAACCTGATCCAGCCCTGGCCGCTATGGAAGGACTTCACACGAAATCAATTGGATTGATGGACATGACGTAATATATGACCTATTATGACCTTTGGATGATGATCGGATCATAGAATATATAGAATCTAACGTTCAGTTCGATATATGCTATACTGGTACCTTAAGAAATGCTTGCTGCGAACACAGCTTTCATTCATGCTAGGAGTCCCAGGGAGCGGACGTGGTGCGGAACCTGGCGCATGAGAAATCAAAGGTTTTGGGCTCGGATATGGGGAGATGTTTGGATCAAACTCTCGGGACAGTTCTTCTACGATGTTGGCTTTTTTCCTTTGTTGGTCTCCTGTTCAACCTTGAGTGAGTTTTTCAGAGCCCAATGTGTCAGTCAGCACATCTGATTATCTCAATATTATCTCA